AGTTGGGCCTTTGCAAGAGACTAAATAGGTTGTACCATCTGTAACTGGAAAATCTGACATTATCTTCATAATTAAATGCTTTTTTTGTTTTGGTTTGGTTTGGTTTTTTTTTGCATTTTTCTTCATCCTTCCCTGTAAGTATATGTAATCTGATTTCTTTTTTCCTAATTTACCAAGTTTTTACAAGTTTTTCTATTAGTAGGTTTTTTCAAGCATTCATGCTTTAGGAAGCTGATTTTCAGCAAACTCCCTAACAGTGAAGCAATTTGAAGAAGGTTCTGCAACATTCCTATTTCTTCTAAAGTAGCAAAACCCGTGATTACTTTGCTACTATCTAATAATGTCTGCTTAGAATTATCATGCAAAAGATCACCTTCATTTTCTCCAAAAATGTACAGAAGGAGAAGTTAACTGCTAGCATGGAGGTTTGGATCTATGAGTTCTTATCCTAAATATCCACAAGACTGATGCCACCAGCAGACCCCGCGTGGTTAATTTCTTCCAAGTGTTCTATTTTCCAGAGATCGTTTAGGCTTCTCATGTTATGATCTTACTGGTTTTTACAATCTGACTTTGTCCATCTTCCAAAGCAGCCCAGTGCTGCATTATGAAATACTATTCAGTGTGCATATGACACTGTCACAGCTAAGTAGTCTACCACTGGCTGAGAGTTTTTGACATTATATCATCAGAATTCTCATATCCTGATATATCCCAGAATAACATACTGGCTCCTTTTGAGATATTCAGCCACATTTCTCTCTGAAAAGAAAAAAAAGGCCATTAAAGACGCTCATGTCATTTTCTTTATGCTATTAATTCTTTGACACACAACTTACTGCGTCTGTATTCTCCAAGCAAGTACTACTTTCTGAGTATTGGGAAACTTCTGAAGAAAACCAGGCTGCAAAAAGATCCCAGGAAGCTGTCAGACCTGCTCTTTTAAGCTCCATGTCTCGTATTTGTCCCTCTTAGTAAGTACTAGGTTTTTTGGAAGGATCTGTCCTATTTGCAACATAGCTTCTTGATTGAGACTCCTCTTTATTTTTCCCCGGCCATGCAGAGACTTGTCTTACAGCTAGATTTCTCAGTTGCTATCTTGTTTAATAATATAAAAGCAAACAACCTGAAGCCTTCCTAATCTCTTCACAACTTTCTTCAGGACTTGGTACATCAGGCTGAGTAGAAATTTTGCTACAGACTCGCAGCAAAACTTGTTTGCTTGTCTCTGAAAATGTTTCATTACGCAGTAGCTTACTGGGCCTTGCAGTTTATACGTTTTTCAGTCATTTGATGTTACAGGGAACAGGTTTGTCATCAATGAGACATCTGCCCTGAGTAAGCTCTGCACTGAGATACTGCATTATTTATCAGGACAGGGTTGATCATTCTCCTATAGTGACATTGGAAGCTTTACAGCTCTATTTTCTACTCCATTTATACTTTAATCTCATATTGCACTGGGTGGAGGCACAGAAATCTTACCAACATATTGCTTTCCATGCTGTGTTACAACCAGCAGGTTGCCTTCTTCAGTTACTCACTGACCTTACTGCTTTTGCCACAGAGGACAAAGCCCTCTTGTTCCAGGTCATGTGTCTCATGTTCCACTGAGATACCAGTCCCATGCTCTGATGCTTCCATCCTGTGGGCCCACAGGATTTTCAGGAATATTGCAGTGTCAAGCTGGTACTACATGTACACAACAAGAAGATTTGGGTTAAAAAAAAATAAAAATGTTGAAAATAACCTTGTGATTAACAAAAAGTGATATTCCACACACTGCTAATGACTTACTGATCACTTGGGGGAACGATCTTTTAATACTTTAAAAATTATTTATTGAGCAAATGCACAATTTTATTGAGTGTTAACGAAATACAGGAACTTCAAGTTAGTTAACATGATTTAAGATGTAGAGAATTGTAGTACAACTAGTACACAGTAACTGCCTGAGTGCATTAACAGAAATGAGCAGAACAGGACATGTAAATCCCCTTGAAGTGTGATTACTGGTTGTAGGATATGGGAGGATATTTTCTATGGCTTGGCATGTTTTATTCCACTCTCACTTGTTGTTTCCTTAGTTTTTAATTGTGTTTCACTTTGACAAAGTCACATCTGAAGGAAACATACCTTATCCTGATGCAATCACAGATCTAAAATAAATCACCACCAAAAAAACCAAGACATTTGAGACAGCCATATTAAAATTCAGAATTTCAAGGAAACATAAAATTTTATTTCTGGGAAAATCATGTAATTAATTATAACTGTCAATGCAGAATACTATTTCCAGAGAAGCTCTACGAGTTTTTGATGGGTTTATAAAATGCTGCTTATCCAATCTACCTCTTTTGTATTAAAAACTGAAGGTCCAGCAAAACATTTTCCATTTCAAATGTAAAAGTGTGCTGGGAAAATACGTATCTGTAGGTGTGGACACAGGAGCGGCTGTTTTTCTCCTCTACTCAAAATCATTTCCACAAGGAGAAGGGCAAAAATTAATAATAATGCCAGTCTAGCTGAAATTGTGAGTTATGTTCTAGATTGCCAGATCTGCTGATGGGCAGAAATGACAGAGGAGGCTGTGACCAAAGGCTGTGTGGTGCCTAAAGCCGAGTACGTCCTTCATGTGTCAGCTTCAAAATCAATGTCATCTGACCCTACTGTCAGATGGCTTAGAGACACTTGAAAAACTTTCTGCTATAGCTAATTTTCTCAAAACATGAGGTTTCTGTTGTATATTTTCTCTAATTTGTTGCAATGAAGGACACAATGTTAATAAAACAAGATGAATTATTCAAGTGGGTGTTATCTGGTAAACCAGTGAGTACTTCATGTACTCTCCTGAACTGAAAACACTGTTTTTTTAAAGGTAGTTTCTGTTTAAAATCCTTTGAGGAAAAAAAAAAAGAAAAAGAAAAAGAAAAAAAAGCTAAAAGCAGCTTCACGTTCTTAATTCTGGTCTAAAGATGCATGACAAGCACTGTTAAGTAAATGTGAAGAGCAGTGCGTTTCATTGGATGTGTTTTGTACTTGCTAAAAAGAGATTTTATATCAAGATTTTCTATCTCCTCAAAACACAGGAAATTAAACTAGCACAGAAGGAAGCACATTTCATTGTGAGGTTGGTCAACACCCAGGGAGGTTGCTCAGAGATGCTGTCAAGTCTCTGCCCTTGGAGACCTTCAAAAATTTGCCTGTGCTGTCAATTTTTTGAGACATCAGCTGGATGTGGTCCCGGGCTACAGGTAACCTTGCTCTGAGCAGGGAATGGGCATGGGGAACTCCCAACATCCTACTGACCTCAAATACTCTGTGATTAGAGGACTGAGAAATATACGACTTCTCCCAACCATGCACACCTGTGAAACATTTACAATAACAAAAATACAGTTTAGCTACCATTAAATATATGAAGCATTCATATGTAGATGGACATTAGCCAAACGGTGCCTACAAAGTTTGTAATATAATTAGATTTCTGTTCTGCTAATACCCACATGTACATTTGCATAGAATTATAGAAAGGCTTGGGTTAGAAGGGACCTTAAAGCCCATCCAGTTCCAATCCACCGCTGCTTTGCAGGGCTGCCACCCACCAGCTCAGGCTGCCCAGGGCCCTATCCAACCTAATCCCAAATGCCTCCAGGGATGGGACATCTGCAGCTTCTTTGGGTAACCTGTGCCAGTGCTTCACTGCCTTCTGCATAAATGATTTCTGCTTAACATCTAACCTAAGTCTCCCCTCTTAGTTTAAAGCCATTTCCCCAGGTCCTATCGCTATCTTCTTATGCAAAAAGTAGGACTCCCTCCTGTTTACAAGTTCCCTTTAAGGCTGCAACGAGGTCTCCCCTCAGCCTTTCCTCCAGGCTGAAGTAGCACAGGTGAAACCTGACTTTACCACAGAAGGAAATACAGGACAGGACACGGGGCTGTAAGATCACTGCGACAGCTGCTGGCATGGCAGCACTGGGTCAATTCAGCAACAGGAAAGCACTTCCTTCTCTAAACACAACTGCTGTGGCTCTTGACTCAAAAACTGAGCACGAAGATGGGAAACTTCTCTCAAGTTTCCCGCAGAACCACAACAGCGGTTCCCGCGATATAACAAAAGGCCTAACGGGTTCAAGCGCCAGGCCCAGGGCATCGGGAACGCACCGCGTTCCGCACCTCAACGTTTCCTCGCGGCGGCCACATGTGTGCCCGCGCCGGCGGAGGAGGTGGCGCGGCCTGCCGGGAGGGCGGGGACATCCTCGGCAGGGGAGGGGCTGCGGGCGGCTGTATGGCCGCGGTGGGGAGCGGGCCTCGTCTTTCTCTGGGGGCTCGCTGGAGGACGATTCTTCCCGTCCCCCGCGGGGCGCTGAACGCGCCCTTCTTCCCCCACCGTTGGGCGAAGGGTTCCGCCCGCTCCCTCGGCGGGCGGCCGTGGCGGCGCATCCCCCTGCGGGGCGGGCAGGAGGAAGCTCGCCCTCCTCCTCGCTCTCCTCCCGCTCCTCCCTCCCGGTGCTGGCGGCGGCTCCTCCTTCCGCGTGTGACCCGCGGCCGCCTGCGAGCGGGGAGGAGGCGCGGCGCGGCCCCAGTGTGGCGACGGCGGGAGGAGGAGGAGCGGGAGCCGCGGAGAGACGTCCCCCAGCAGCCCCGCCGCCGGGCCCCGCCGGCGCCCCGAGCCCGACGGAGCCCCCCATGCCCGTGTGGTGCTGCCGCTGCTCCTTGGCCGGTCCCGTTAGGTGAGGGGCGGCGCGGCGCCGGGGCCGCGGCCTCCGCGGGAGACGTGTGGAGCGAGGGGCGGGATGGAGGGGCGCCCCAGCCGCGCGGTCACCTTGGGCAGCGCCGAGCCGGGCAGCGCCTAGCCGGGCAGCCCCGCCGCCGCGCGGGGCCGTGCGCCGTTCCTCCTCCGTCGGCGCTCACGGTGCCGCTCCGGGCACCGCGCGACCCCGCCGGGAGATAAGAGCAGCCCGCCGGCGGGATGTGCGCTTGGCACCGGGTATCACCCGTGTGTGCGTGACGAGATCTCCGTCAGCCGCGCGCTGCGGTCAGCCTGCTGCTACGCACAGCGTTGCAGGGGCTTTGGGAACTGCTCCGTAAGAAAGGCTCCTCCGTTAGTAACTTGAGGGAAATAACGGCAGCTGTTGCGAACGGTTTGTTCTCTTCCCGGGGAAGATAGCGTTTACGTATGGTATGTGTTTTCCTGCTCTTTTCCCACGCTTTCTTTAGAAATGTAACTAACTGCGAATAACTGAAAATCAAGAGCGAAGCGCCAGCGCCGGGTCTGGCAGCCTCGCGTCGCTGCGGATCCCCGGCTGGGGGCTGAGCGCAGGCCCTGGGCCGGGCTGCTGGTACCGGTCCCCGCCATGCAGAGCTGGATGCGAAACCTGGTGCTTGTTGCTGGGCCGTTGCTCGCGGCTCAGGGGCGGCCACCTCCGCCATCCTAATTCAGGACCTTCCCGAGCTTTGCTGCGCTGTTCCTAAGAAGCAAGGATGCGCGTCTGATGCGGTGCTGCTTCTGCTTCGTGCACGTGATAGCTGAGGAGCTGATTGCGTGTGCAGGCAGATCTGCACAGTTCTGTGCTGCGCAAGAGAGGTTTTCAGCCGGTTTCAGCCTTCCATCCTGCGAGGAGGGTGTGTGGAACCCCCTTGCTCTCTGCCAGTCCACCTGCAAAGCACAGAGCACTGCTGCCGTAGTGAGCTCGGAGTGCAGGCTGGCAGGTAGCGGAGCCTAGCTGTACCTGCCTAAAAAAGCAGTGTGGTGGTTAAATATCCTCTCTATTCACTTCAGCTTGCAGTTTGTGCTTTAATGCACACCTATTGTGACAAGCCAGCGCACAGCTGTAATTCAGTGAAGTCATTGATTTCCAACTTTTTTTTTCCTGTAATACAGGAAATGCACATGTGAAGTTCTCACTTCCAGAAGTAAATACAATTTCAGAATGGCTTCCCCCTTTTTAACCAAGAAGTGACTGTCACGGGGCTGGGTGACAGTGCTGTCACTGCTGTGCAGCTCAGTCTTCAGCTTTCTGTCAGGCTTTGGGAGCATCCAGCAGACCCCTCAGGCCAAGGGAGCTGATAGGTTGGGACGTTTTTAATTGAGGAGTTGAGCATTTTAAAGATTTAATAAAAGCAGATTTTTAATTTGCCATTGCCTTTTAAGCTAAGCTGATGAAATGTTTGCTTCTTCAGTGACCTGGAAAACTTGAGTAGGTGCTCATAAATAATTAAGAGGCAAGCAGTTTAAAACATGTCTTTAGCATAGATGTATATGTAGAGCATGAAGAACTGTGAGAGGAAGCTAGCTTGGTGTTGCAGAGGGAAAGCTGACAAATTAAGGAGATGACAAGTGGTGGGAGCAGTCTGTAATGCAGCAGCTAACCTATTGGTGCACAGTAATTACTTGCATTAAGTTTGTTGTTTGATTCCTTTTGTAAAAGACTTTCTTAATGTGGTTAAAACCACCATAGGATGCACCTAGGGTTACTAGAAATTGCAGTCTCTCAATTTTTCGCACCGCTGCTGACTTTTAGGTTCGCATCTGCCTGATCAAGAAAGTGTTGGTGTAAAGTCTTGTGTGCTGTTTGGCAGGTAGGAAAGTATGTAAGGGGCTGCTGATACATCTTAGCTTCTCACTCATTTTTTGGTTGGTCTCAGTGTTGTTTGTGGGCTAGGTGGGGGGTGTCTCCACTTCTGATGGGGGTAATAAAAAGTGAGCTTTTCTGTGTGGTGGATCAAAATAATGCTCGTTGGTTATACGTTGGCTTTGTATAAACTGAATTGGAAATCTGTGTCTCTGTGGAGCCATCTGTCCCTTTTTATTATCTTGCTATAGACTTCCTAGGAGAAAATGGACTTGGATTTACTGTTAGAAAACTGTTCTGGAGAGTAAAATTCTGTAGACTGGATGAAACATATCTATTTTAGTCTATTTTTTGTTAATTTTGTAGCTCTTCAAATAAAGCATTAGAAGCAACTTTATTTTGACAAGATTGTTTTGACTCCAGTGCAACTGTTATATTTTCAGTTTTCTTCCATCTGTCCTTCTCAATTAGGAATTACAACAGCTCTGAAACTGAAGGACAGCTTCTGAATTCCTTTGGCCAGTATTTTGGTGACAGCCTTGGGAAGAAGATAAAAAGAATGCCTTTATTAGAAGAAACTGTTCTGCCTGGAGACTCTCTTCTTACTCTGCCTGTGGTAATAATAGGTGAGTTTTTTGACTCAAAATTCTCCACTGCTACCATTCCCTTTATAGGCTTGCTGTGTGAAGTCATTTATCGCTAAATGAATAATGCTTAACATCCTTACGGTGAAGGTGCTTATTACAAAAAGAGTTATTATGATTAACAACAGTGCCATCAGATTATATTGAAGTTCTTGCAACCAGAGTACATTTGAATTGAAATGATGATCTGGCAAATGGACCTGCATTACTTGGCAGCAGATAGATGAGTCTTAGCAGCACTGCTTGGATTCAAGCATTGATCTCAAAGGGCTTGATTAACATGGTGCTGTGTCTTCATCAGTTTGCATGGAGGTTGTTGATGCTGTGGCACTAAAAATTTGTGGAGTCATGCAGGATGGTGAAAAGCATAATGTAAAGTGTGTGCTGTGTGTATTGGCTAGATGTTAACCTGGTTTATTAATTGCGTTTCTCCGTTGTATCTGTCACTAATATCTGAATGTTGTCCCATCTTTTACTAAATCAATCCATGCCAGTTCAGCCAGTTGAGAACAATGCGTTGTAGTCTTGATGAAACAGTTAAAGGATTGTAATTGTAAAATCTTGCTGAATGACAAGATGGCAGAGGGAACAGACTCCCAAGGTACACAGCATAAATTGGTTTGTATTGGGCCAAGGCTCTTGAGCAACAGCTATTCACTAGCTGCTTACTGCTGTGAGTTGATGAAGGGTTAAAGAAAAGATCTGAAATAGAAGAGGCTTTCAGAAACCTCCAAAGTCCAAAGCTGTTAGGACTATAGCAAATCAACACCTTTAATTGTACATGTAAACAGGCAGAGAAATTCCAAAGAATGATATTTCAACATACATTCATGTTAAATCTCCACAACTCAGAAAGATCAGTGTTTGTACAGTGCACATTCTCAAAGCTTTCTTCACAATGGCTTAAAATAGTGCTCATGGAATGTATTTTATATGAATGTGACAGACGTGAATCACTTGCTAAATTCTGCATCACAGTTGAAGAGCAACAGCTTCCTGGCATTTCATCAACCTTCGTTTAAGTTTACCATATGGTTAATGACTCAGTTTTCACTGTTTATCTTTGCAAATATGTGTTATGCAAATACCTGTGCTCAATACTTACTTTGTCTACAGTGCCTTCCTCTGTGCTGATAGCAAACACAGCTGCTTTGAATATTTCTACTTGGGAGGGGGAAAAGTTACCCGAAAGTTATTTCACACATGCATCTGAAAAATGTCTCAAGTTTATCTTCCTCAGCTGCATGTTATCTCTAATTTTAAGGTTTGCTGCCTTAAAAGATATCTACGTTGATCCATAATGTTACGGAACACCACTGTTTTTCCCTCATACATGTGTATGCACAAACTGAATCTCTACTGGCTTAATCTTGTGTGCTATTCCTGTGTAAATGGAGTTTGACATCTTTAAGTTTCCTAGTGCTGTCTTTTCATTGCACTGTTCTAACAATGGGGAGGAAAAATATGGCATAGTTCATTAGTGACTTCATAATGGAGTAGCAACTTCTGTTGCCTTCTCTCTTTAGCTTCACCATTCCATTTCTCCCCTGTATGATGCCCAATTTAAGATCAGATTCTTAGGTTTGTGCTGTGCAGTGTACTCTAATACTTCAGGGTGTACAAAACTACTCTGATAATATTAAGTAACTGCTGTGTTGTTCTTGTTTTGTTCGAGAGAGTAGGAAGAAACTGTTAAATTCTATTTGAATGAGGTAAAATTGGTAAATTTTGTGGTAGAGAACATCTAGAGAATGTTCTGTGCTAAGCTTTATCATGTGCACTGGTTTTGATCTTAACATGTAAACACAGTGTGGTCCTATTTTCATCCAAATAACAGGGCTTTGCAGGGATCTTTGAAGTTGGTTATCCACTTCATATTTAGGTACAGAAAGGTGAACTTCATCTAGAAGATGTCTGTGGTGGGAACTCTCCCCCTTTCTCTCATTCTTTCCAGTGCTTTATGGTTTTACAATGCACAGGCATTTTAACACTTTTTTTGATGTCCATATACTCACACAAAAGCTGCATTAAGAGCCCTTGAGGCACTCTGCAGCCTGGGTTATTTACTCAGGTTCTAGACCTGGGAGTGAACAGGAAAGATGAGGTCTGAGCAAACTTGTTGGGAAATATGGGGCCAAAAAATCCAGCAAGTGGGAAGAGGAGACATGCACTGCAGGAGTGAGATTGGAAATACAAGATACAAATAGGTGTGTGAAGATAATGAGGAATAAGAAGCAAAGCATGAACTCTTGAGATCAGGAGTTAATACAAGGATCTAGCATCTTAATGATGAGTGCTACATAGAACCATGAATAAATTGGTAACTTCAGCATCAGATCTAAAGTGTGTAGTAAATGCCACGTGTGCCCCTCTGGATGAAAATAAAGACACAATACAGAGTAATGTCTCAGTGGGAGAACACTGCTCACTACTTTTCGTTCAGTTAATGAGGAAAACCTATCGAAATAACTGCACCTAGTCACCTGTTTACAGTCTGTAGAAAAGCACATACTTTTCTGATATTAACTTTCCCTGGATTTTTATGTTTGACTTCACAACATTAGCACTACTTCTATACTCGTATGCTATTGTGATCTCCTACTTAATTTAATGCTAATCAAACAAATACTTTCCTTACAGTAAGGTCTTGGCCCCATCCATTTTGCACCTTTTATAAAATAAGTTCATCTATTAATTACAATAATTTCTGTAAATTATAGAAAGCCATAAAACAAAAAGATGCTTGAGTTGATATTGTTGCAATAAAGCATAATGCTGAATGTGGTTTGATGCAAGTTTTTTGTACAGTGCTACGTATGTACTATGTGTGTCAGCATCTACTTTGTTGTGCTGTGTGTGTGATATTTCATTGTCTTGGATCATTTCAGCTTTCTGCTCATCTTTTTTCTTTTATAAGACCTAAAGAGCATATACCCCAGCTTGTTTCTATTCTGTGTTTCACAGTACTTAGTACAAGTGTGAATGCAAAAATGCAAGATGGAAATATTCGGGTATTTCTGTGATTGACAAGTAGAGCAGATCTTATCCATCAGATCATTTGCATGAGAACAGTGAACTTGACGTGCTGAAATATGAAATCCCTTTGTGTACACTTTGTTTCATAGTGCTAATTGTCACACATTTTTTCTTACCCGATAAAAACTGTGCTTGGCTTATCTGGAAGAAGTTCTAGGGTAGGTGTTATTTTACTGTGATAATTATAAGCTGCTTTGAATTGGGATGGTAATGCATTATGCCACTTCACTGTAACTTTATTGCTGCTTATTTAATTACTTAGTAGAAGTAACCTAAAGTTTCTAAAGCAGTTTTCTCTTTCTTTAATAGGAAATGGACCTTCAGGAATTTGTCTTTCATATCTACTGTCTGGATACAGGCCGTATTTGTCTCCTGAAGCTGTACATCCAAACCCCATTCTCCACACAAAATTAGAGGAAGCCCGGCATCTTTCCATTGTTGATCAGGTAAGCCTGTTTTGCAGTCTTGTCCAGCTCTTTTCCTACAAACTACATTATGAAACAGTTGTCTTTAGTGAGCCTATTTGAAATGCTTTTGTAACTTACGTAAGTAGTGTGTAGATGAAAAAAGGGCTTAATGTTCTTATCCTGCAAAGAATGAGACCACAGTACAGCTCAAGTAGCTGTGTGGCCTCAGCCAACTAGCTTTACCACTTGACCTATGCTCTTCTTACCTGCAAACTGAAGGGCAGCGCATACCTTCTTCAGTGTCTCATTAGCAAATTATATACTTGGCTCTTCCAGATGAAAAATGGTACGTTCTGAGAACTGCTTATCTTAAATATAAATTAATTATCTTAAATATAAATAAATAAATAGCAGATTGCAGAAAAATATGTAGAAGTAGCCTGCTTAGCTAATCATGTTTCCAGTGCAGTGATAACATGCTTCTGTTGATTTAAATGATCTGAGGCTCATGATCCAAGGCTACTATGTTTGTGAAGGTGGTTTGTTTTGTGGCTCTAGAGATCTTTTTGTTTGTGGTATTTTTGGGTTTTACAATCTGCCTTTTGTAATGATATTATCGCTTGCCAGAAGCGTCAAAAGCACCACTATGTCAGTGAGGAGCTGATGCAGGCCTTCCAGCTCTCATGTCCTAGAATGTTTGGGTGCAGCTGTGTGGTGGTTTAAGGCTGAACGCCACATGCTGATAATGTACTTCAGATACGTGTTGAAGTTACATGACTGGAAACACTAGTGATTCTCTGTTAAAAGCAGTGCAGTATCAGTAAGTATAAATGTTACCAGGTTGCTCTGTTCTCTTTGCCCCAATTTTTAAAACACCACCTAGCCCTGCATTAGTAGTATGTAATTTTCAAATGAGGCACATGTACTATATTCAGAGTTACAGGAGTAAATCATAGCAGTTATTTCTAAACTGTTTTGATTGTGTTTATCTATAAAATACTTAAAATGCAACTTCCACTGACTGTATTTTCTGCGTATCAAATTCAATGTCTGTACATCAAAACAGTATGATAAACAGTAAAAGTTAGGTAAATATATAAAACTTAACTTTCTTGCTTCAGGATCTAGAGTACCTGTCTGAAGGCCTGGAGGGACGCTCTTCAAACCCAGTTGCAGTGCTCTTTGATACACTCCTTCATCCTGAAGCTGACTTTGGGTATGACTACCCATCCGTTTTGCACTGGAAGCTGGAACAGCATAATTATATTCCCCATGTAGTGCTTGGTAAAGGACCACCTGGTGGGGCTTGGCATGTGAGTAAACATTTCATATCATGATAATTTTGTGGGTTGGGGCTTTTCTTCGAATGGCTGTTTTAAATGTCAATGATGGCAATTGCAGTTTCCATTATCAAAGGTCAAGTATGTTAAAGATTGGCAGAGGGATAAGTTATTCTTTAATTTTGGGGATTGTGGCCATAACTGCTGTCTTGTTTTTATTATTATTTTAAATTATAACAAAGGTTATTCTCTAACTTTTCTCATGTTGTTTTCAGGTGCAATTATACAAAATCTTAAATCTTTAAGATTTTGGCTGCATCCTTTGCTTTAATCTTTTTTTCTTGTTTCAAATAACAATATTTTTAAGTAACCTTTATTTTCCCCTTTGCTTGTACTCTCTTTCTACTTTTTTAGATCACGTAGTTGCTCATTAAAACATCTAACTGTAGGGCAAAAATATTTCATCAGATGTATTATGCTCTATTTTTATGTCAGTCTGAAGGAATAGAGTGAGAAGAACTTTGCTGTTTCACATAAAAATATCTATTAGGAATGTATCTGGTCATCTTGGTTTTTTTTTTCCTCCACCCTAGGCCATGGAAGGCTCTATGCTAACAATCAGTTTTGGAGACTGGATGGAACTGCCTGGACTCACTTTCAAGGAGTGGGCAGCTAGCAAGCGCAGGTAAAGATGCTGCCTAAAGTACTGGGAAATAAGTTGTAAGAATGCAGGTAACTGTTTAAAGAACTGGAAAATATTTGAGCTTCATTCTTTACAGGAAAACTTCTTTTGTTTATTAAATTGCCTAATGGCATTGGAAATGATTTATGTACTCTGGTGGAAGAAAATTGACAGCAGTTGGCCAGAACGATGGCTTTCAGTGCATCAAAATATGTATGTGTACTAACAGTGATGTGTTTGAACATTTCTCAAATAAGTGCTGTTGCTGTAAGCTGATTCAGTCATTCAAAACCTACCAAAGTATACCAGAAGTTCCTCTTTCAATGTGGATGTTAACTTGAGTAACTTAAGTTGCTGTGGATACTCACTTGCAATTCAGGAAGTCTGTACCTCTCAATATTTACTTCACAGACAAAGCTGAAATGTTACAGTCTATGAACTGTACTTTTAAGAGAATAATTCATTGCTTCCCAAAGTTACTTTCTTGTACTAAGTTCCTTGGAAGGCAAGTTAAAGAAAAAACACTGTCTTGTACAATCTGTTGGCTTTTACTTTGAAGCTGCGATTAGTTCCCAAAGATCTGTGTCAACAGATGCGCTCTGCTTAAGCCTGTTCTACAACAAATTTTCCTAACTTTGTTCTAGCAAAATGAAAGGAAGTTGTTTTGACACATAGGGCAAAAAAGCAGAAGGATTTCTTGGGCGTATGTCTTTAAGAGCAGTGTTACTCATTTCAGGACAACACTTAAAATGAAGAAACTGTACCTTTGTTCTGTAATAGCTTTCTTAGATAATAAGGAGATAAGATTACTGTCATTAACTGAAATCCCATAAGCTACTTATTATCTGGAGCTAATTTGTTTATATTATAATTTTCAACAATACTATAAAAAGAAATGCTGAACTGTTTCACTACAGTTAAACAGGCATAATTAGAAATATCAGTGATAATTAATGCTTACAGTCATATGAAATAGTGTTGTTATACCAGATGTCACACTGACATTCATCCTATCCATTAAATACCTCATTAGGATTTTCAGAGTAGTAACCTAAACTGAAAGCACGTATACTATCTTTTTAACCATTGAGAATAAGCAACCCAGTCTCATGTAAACATGAGCTTCTCAGCTTAGTTCAGTGGATAACCTGTTATTTGCTGCTGTTTCTTTTGGCTTTTCCTGGAGCTTTTTTCTAAAGAAGCAAACAGATTCATTCAATTTCTCAGACAGCTTAAATTTTTTGTAAATAGGTCAAACATAAGGTAGTATCAGGATTCCAGTGCAAGAATGCTTTTTCTTGGACATCTGGTCATTGTAATCCTGTTCAAATGTGTATTAAGGTTCAGTGTGATACTTTATTCATTCAGGTAGGATTTAATTCTCTGTTACAGAGCTACTTAATTTGAAACTTACTGAGCTTATCTGTACTCACAGGAGAGTGATTCGTTTGAGTTAAGCCCTTTTCTTCATTACACTTTACAATATACCAAACCTACAGTTTCAAATTTGGCTCTTAGCAATTATGATATTTATTTACTTTATTTTAGTGGTCATTGAGTGCTGTTTTAGCTGGTGTTCTACTGTAGATGGTCATGATGTTCAAGTGAGTTGTAAAACACTTCCATATAGACCTAAGTAATACTGCAGTTTTCTTTTTGATTTGTTCATCACCTTAGCACTTATTATAATTAAATATTTACATTGTTTTTAAAAAGAGATAGCTTGTCTCTTATGTCAGGAATCTAGAGAGCAAATAAAGCAAATTGAGTGAGTTTAAATATACTGAACTCCATATCAGTTACACTGGGCAGATTCAGTGCTCTTAAATCTGACTGTTGTGTTGTAGATCATAGTTGGATGTTAAAATATTGATAAGGTGTTTATATAAGGTGTTTTCAAGCTATGGCAGGGGAGATTCAGGCTGGACATGAGGAAGTATTACTTTTCAGAAAGGGTGGTCAGGCACTGGAATGGACTGCCCGGGGAGGTGGTGGAGTCACCGAGCCTGGGGGTGTTCAAGGAAAGGCTGGATGTTGTGTTGAGGGACATGGTTTAGTGGGAGCTATTGGGAATAGGTGAACGGTTGGACTGGGTGATCTTCTAGGTCTTTTCCAACCTTGGTGATTCTATGATTCTATGATTCTGTATTAACTGGAAACATTCAATTTTGTTTCAGAAATATAAAGAGTGACCGAGTAATGCCAGAGGAAATAGCTTGTTACTATAAACACTACGTTAAAGTCATGGGCCTCCAAAAAAACTTCAGGGACAATGTTTACATAACATCAGTATCCAGACTTTACCGAGGAGATGATGAAGATAGAAGTCAGCTGAATGAAAATATTCCGACGCAGCATTTGGAAATGGAAGATGGACAGAAACCACTGATTAAGCGAAACTGGGAAGTCAGAGGTTATCAGCGAGCAACAGATGGTTCTCATGTGCCCTTCTGCCTCTTTGCTGAGAACGTGGCTCTTGCCACGGGAACCTTTGACTCTCCTGGCCGACTGCACATTGAAGGTGAAGATTTTCCTTTTGTCCTTCATTCCATGTCTGACTTCGGAGCTGCTGTAAGCAAAGGAAAGCTACGTGGGAAAGCAGACCCTGTGTTAATTGTGGGTGCTGGACTTACTGCAGCTGATGCAGTACTGTGTGCCTACAATAACAACATCCCAGTAATTCATGTGTTTCGTAGAAGAGTTACTGATTCGAGTCTGATTTTCAAACAATTGCCTAAAAAGCTTTACCCTGAGTACCATAAGGTCTATCATATGATGTGCACTCAGTCACATACTGGGGACTCTCATCTGCATTCTGCTTACACTAGTTTCCCTGAACACAATGTACTTTCCTTTAAGCCTGAAATGAAATGTGTTCTTCAGAGTGCCTCTGGACTGAAGAAAATCTTGAAGTTTTCTGTAGCCTTAGTTCTGATAGGTTCTCACCCAAATCTCTTCTTTTTAAAGGACCAAGGACATAGCATAGGACATCACTTAAATCAGCCCATCACGTGCAAAGGGAATCCTATTGAGATAGATCCATATACATACGAATGCACTAAAGAAGCAAACCTCTTTGCTTTAGGTCCCCTGGTGGGAGACAACTTTGTACGGTTTCTGAAAGGAGGTGCATTGGGCATTGCACGATGCTTGGCAATAAGACAAAAGAAGAAACATGAATTGATGGGAAGTGAGGATGGAGGAGGTGATGGGGTACCATAAATAAGGCATTAGAAACTTTTCACGTATGGAACTAGACTTAGTCTAACAAAGCACTCACTGACAGCAAAAGTTGTTAGCAGTCATATTTCTGTATACAAGTAACCTGTGCTTGTATTGTTTGATAAAGGATGCTGATACCATAATACTTCCTTTTCAAAATGCAAAGATTTGATCTGCTGTTACAACTGATCTCTATCTACTGGAATTAATTCCAGAGAAACAGAAAATGAGACTAACTCTTACTGACCTACCTGTCATCTCTTGCTCAGCTGAAAGAGCAGACTTCCTCTGGGAAAAGCAATGCCTGCCAGTGTGGGTTCATCTTTCAGTGTCAAACTTGACAAAATATTCCTATCCTGAAATTAACTTCAAAAAGCAGAAGGCTGTTAGTAGAAAGTGATGCTTGGTCCCAGAGCAAATTTGGAGCCTTTTGAAGTGGGAATTTTATTTATTTGCCATAGTAATACTTGGAATGAGCACTTACAAAATGGTCTTTACTATACGAAGGATATTCCATAAGCAGAGAGAGTCCCAAGAGAGTCCCAAGTGACCCAATTTGGTAATTGGAATAAAAGAATAGGCATTCGTGTTTAATCTTCAGTGCATGATTTGACAATCCATTAATATTTTTTTCATGCAATGCCTAGATTTTGGTGAGTAGAGACAGACGTGACGTGAGATGTTCCCCTGCGGTGATATGTACGTTCTGAGAGAACTCACCAACATAAACAATAAAGTACTGATGTAAGTGCTCTTATTACAGTGTCAGTATAATGAATATTTAGTGTACCTGTGCAAAAGACTACATGAGAAAGCTTTTCAGCTTTTTGCCTCCTAGCTCAGGAAGGCTGGGATCACTTGAGTGATGAAGGTGGGTGATAGGTGGTAGTATTTCCCATTTGGCCAAATACTGGTTATTTGCAGCCTGCATATTTTTAAAATGTCATGGGAAAGGATTATATCTTACAGCCAGCGTAACAACAGCAACAAAAAACAAACAATGACCATACTTTGTATGAAGGCTTACAGTTTGCTGTAAGATATTTAACGTGTAACTACCTCTGAAGTTTTACATTTATCCTCCGTAACATAAGGTCTAGATTTCATTTGTTGGATTTTTGTTTGAACGTGCTCTAGAATTATTGACTATAGTAAGCAGCAGCTCACTGTTATTCCAGAACTCACAAATTAAGTGCTTCAGTTCATTACCAAACACTTAAAAACAGGTTAATTCGCAGAATAACCTGGCTAGACTCTTAGTTTTTCATTAGCCCTTTTCTGTGTTAAAGAATGTCATGTTCATGTAAGGTATTGTATTTGCGTGATTGAAATCTTCATATCGGAACTTAAGTAGATTTTAAAACTGAAATGAGGTTTAGACTTGGTCTGATCAGTGCTTGCTGGTATCCCAGCTCACTTTCCCAAGTTATAGATACCTATAGTGACAAATGCCTGTTTTCTGTGCCAACTGAATTACTGAGTTCTGTGCCTATCGTCAGCCTTTATGTACCTGAGGAAGGTAATCAGGCTTGGATCACAGAAGTTAAAGTCAAAAAGGCTGAAGTATGTGAGGATTAAAGTGAGTTTTTTTTTTTTCAATGGAAATCCAAAATTATTTATGAAGTGATGCTACTACTGACAAATCTTAGAGATAATTGCTTAAGTATAAGGAGGGCAGACTTCGTATTTGCTTTATTGCCTACATGATTGAATTCAGCTGTATGTTTTCAGTGGTGGAGGTATTTTTAATAGTGACATTTGGACTGGTTTTAATTATTCTAGGTTTATTTTGTTGATAATTGAATTGAGATTCTATAATTAGCCTTCATTAGTGAGAACTGTATATATACATCTATCCTAAATCTGTGCTACCCAATAATTTAACTATGAATTAGCATTGAAGTGCTAGATTTTAGGCTGCAGGTAATAGAACTGGATATTTTAGAACTGCTTAATACTTGCTTACAAAATCTTATTGCAATTAACATATTGAGAATATTTCTACACTGTGATTAAATTCCTTCAGTTTTGTGTAAGTGGCCAAGCAGAGCATATTGCAGCACATCAGAGTACTTGCCTTCATTACGTGAAACAAAATGCTGTCAAAACACAGGAAACAATATACTTGGCCAGAAGGATAAAAGCTCTTGAGTGGCCGAATCTCCATCCTCAGCTGCTGCATCTGCTAATGGGCTGTGTTTGTAGTGAGGGAAATATGGTCAGAGATATTTGTTCTGTTCTTTGTACAGGTGTATTTCACAACAGCATTTACAACATCTTGAGCCTTAGCTGCTTTTCTGTTTTCCTTAGTATTTCTAAGATGAAAATTCATGAGATGCTTTAGTTGGGCAGAGGAGTTTATTTGGTGGTAACTCTTGTTAGCCTGTCAGTATAAAAAGAATAATAATAATAATAATAATAATAATAGCCTTTAACTGAAGGTGTTCCAAAAAGGCACCCTGTTTTTTTTGTTTGTTTGTTTGTTTTCTTTTTCTAGAAATTGCCAGTTCTGAAGTTTCAGCCAGACATTTGGGTTTCTGACTTTGACTGCTTGGTGAGGTTTCTGTTTCTCTCCTAGGTACGCTGTGAGAAAAAGATATGCAGAAGTTAATGCAGTTAGGATAGCTTTTCCGTAGGACAGCTTTCCCTAAAGAATTGGATCACGCTGCATTTGTTGTGGATTAGATGGGAGCACTGAATAGGTACCTTTGGGGGAAACATGTTGTCTCTCAGTTCTCAAATATATACACATTCAATATATGTATTTAAATTTCCTTTCTTCATAATAGTTCCCAAAGGGAAACTTTGCTTCCTTCAGCATTTCTTTCAGTGAGGAAGGCAAGTTTTCAAATACTGTACATTAAAAAAAGGTTGCTTATTACTGAAGCTTTATTACTAATATGCAGAAAGATCATAACTGTTAGCTGAAGAAATTTTATTTAGATTTATAGAACTTCTAAAGGTGCAATAACCATGCTAAGTGTTTTCTAATAGGCTGGTGGGAAAATGTCTTTTGTAGTTGTTCTTGGTTCTTTAATGCTGAACACATCTCCAAAACTATTGCTAAGATTAATTAGTTTCCAACTGTGTTGAACTGGGACTAAGATGTGTCATAGTAGGTTTCCTAGTATGTGATTATTTAATGATAGGCAGTTCTGAATGAAGGTACCTAGATGGATGGTAACAAATGGCATGGTTTCTGTTGGCTTCCAGTGGCTGATGGATGAACTTCTGCTTAATTTGCCAGGATTGGCTTCATTTTACCCTGGCAAGTGCAGAAATCCACAGTAACGTCGGGCTGCTCTATCTCAAGAGGAAGCACTGCCTGGAGCTAGCAGCCTTGGTTTTCTGCTGAACATATGGACAGAGTGTTGGGCCCAGATGCATAGGTTGCAAACAGGGCTTATATGCTGAGTAAAGGACACCAGAGAGCATCCCATAGCTATGGGTCCCTGGTCCCCAATGCTGCGGGGGTTGTTGGGAGGTGTCATGTTGTCCTTGTGGCCTCTTGTGTAGGCACTCTTCAATTAATTTCTTTGTGATGGTTGCCTAATGAAAAATAACAGTCTGGTAGAAGGAGATGGCTGTAGCTTTTCTCTTGCAACATTTAAACTGGGAAAAAGATGATAGACAGAAAAATGGAGCACTTGGTTTAATTTCCTACAGCATTGAACAGACCTAGACTTTGAGGCAGGCCTGTTTTGCACAGGCAGTTGGAGAGAGAAGGAATTTACCTTGTTTTTAGGTAACTTGCTCTTGAGAGACAAAGAAAGGGTGTGAAATCTTTCAGCTCCCAATGATTTCATGCTAATTAACAAGTAATGACCAGTAAGTAACAATAGAAGAAAGCAGTAAAGAATCTGAGCAACGTAAACTTAAAAGCCTATAGGTGCAAAAAGAGCCCACATGGTGTTAGAGCGTAGTGGGCTCCCATCCTCTGTAAGGTTTATGCTGTTACATTTTCACTTGGCTAATATTTTAGAACCATTTGGCTCTGATTTTCTGTTACCAAGTGTGGATTATTTGGTGAGGGTTAGAGCCAGATGGGAGCATGGTAGCCACACTGGCGGAAGAACTTTCTGGATATTCATTTTCCTTGCACAACCTGGAAGAGAATGCATGAATGCATGCTTTGTTTGAGGTTACCACAATGCCTGGTCTGTTGAGCAGAAACAAAGGAATCTGAAATGCCATTGACAAAGGAAGGCTTTGGTGACACCGGGTGACAAAGTTAGACACTGCTTTACAAACGGCTCTTTCTGCAAGACAGTACTGTCTTTGGGGGGGAATATGGTACACTTCTAAGATGTCTGAGCTAATCCTCAAAGCCTGAATTGCACTAGGAAATGTGAAATCACACATTCGGTGTAAGGAACAAGGATTGGGTTGAAGTAGTGATTGCAGTAAGGCTAAGCACTCTTCCAGGGATGGTTTTGTCAATGCAGATTGAAATGTTTCAGGCTTAGTGCCCTGATATCCTGTTGCACCTGTCTGCATGCTAGTGACTTTATAGCAATGATAATTTCTTACTTAAAGGGCATATTAAGCCCAACTCTTACTGGAAATTCATTAAATTTACATTTTCCTCCCCCATCTCTTCATGATGAGATCAGTGGCAATGTGCATGTATACAACCATACTGCCTGTGGTGGATGCTTCAACCAACTAAAATTTAGCATAGTTCCTGGATGCCCCTGTGGACTTGCATCTATTTAAAAAAACAGTACAGAATCCTGGCATTTTTTTTTTTTTTAAACTTGATATATAAATTAGAATGTTGTCCACAATTCCAGAGGAAAGGAAGTGAAAGGTTTGTAGACTTTCAAGGGGGTGACCTGAGCAAAAGGAAGAGTTTCATGTTCAATGGTAGGACCAGCTGTATGAATGCTGAGGTGCTCCTTTTCAAAATCCTGTGGCCTCACATCTGTTTGGCAAAATTTTGGAAAGTCATTGCTCTGGTATTGCCCATTTCTGTTAGATCTGATGCTCTGGTTGCGGATTTCCTGTTCTAAATGAGCTGAAGATTTATATTCACTCACCCACGCTTCCTGCTCTCATGCAAGGCAGCTGGAGCTTGAGGTACCAAGTAAACATTACAGTGCGTCAGGCTTCACTATTTCTGCTTTTGCTGAAGTACGTTTAGGTCATATCCTTTTTTAGAAGTTCAGTGTAAACATAACACATAGATGGTATCTGCTGTCAGCTGAAGTAGATTCTCCTTTGAGTTGTGAGTAAAACCTCAGTTTTGATGAGATGATTAACTTTCCCAAGGCTTGCATACAAACCTTGTTTCATCTTCAGGTGTGAAAACTGATGGCAGATGAGGGTTCTCCACTTCCTTTGGCCTTTCAAGTCAAATTATATGTGGTGAGGCAAAATTGTACGGTGTTCAGGAGGAGGAAATTGTACTGATCTGGTGCTGCAACTAATGCTTGAGAAAGAGAGATTCTGAGGGTCAGAGATGAGGTGGAATGGTGCAAACAGTGTTAAAGCAAATGGTGGGGCATGCTGCTGGCTGGGGAGATATAGAAATGGTAGGGATATTGGAATGTAGTCATGGTGGTCATCAAAACTTGTTAAGAGGAGGTGTGAGGGGTATAACAGTAAGGAAGATGATACATGTGTGTTGCTGTTTGGTTTAGGAATGAAGATACTAGTATGAGCAGAGTGCAGTCAGAGGAGGCCAATTTGTGATTCAAATACTGGGTATGGCCAAATGTGACTGGGGATTCCACACATTGAATGAAGCAAGAGAAGGGCAAGGTGTATGGGGGGGAAGTAAGGGGGAGAAGATGAATTTTCTGTACAAAAGAACTGATGTTAGGAGAGCTGGTTGCGGTGGAGGTAGGCCTCAGAGCTGCCTTTGACTGGTATGCCAGCTATGAGCTGAAGCTTGGTGTGAAATGTGATTTGATTCCTCTGACTGAGGAATGGTGGTCAGCAGACGAATGTGAAATTGATGGGAAACACATTTTCAGACCACAGGAATTAGTGCAGTGCCGCAGGAGAAGCCTGCCCTGCCCTCACCCCCTGCTGCATCAGCCCTGAGAGATGGAAAGTAAGGGCAGGAGTGAGATGTGGGTTGTCACTGGTGGAAAGAAATGGAACACGAATCTCAACAGTCTGAGGGGAAAAAGTCCCGGTAGCTTTGCCCAGGGCAGTGGCTTCCCAAACAGACATGGGAAAGGCAGGAAGTCAGTGGAAACGGAGAGTGAGGATGATGTTCCTGCACAGATGCAGCACCTGGGCTCTGCTCCAGGGGTGTGTGAGTTAATTCAGCCTGTGTGGAACCATGCTCAGTGAAGCTGCTGGATGCAAGACTGTACTCTAAAAGCCTTGCTAATAAAAAGTATATTTAGTCTGTACACTGTGTGCATCTCCTTCCTGTGAGCAATGTGAACAAAGATGGTTCTAAAAAAAGCAGACCCACAGCCCCTCAGTGTTCGTTACTCAGAAAAATGAAAGTGCTGTAGATAAAGCTGCTGCTTTTTTATCAAAAAAATACAGCTATAAGCAGAGTTTGGTCAAGTGTGCTATGCTTTTAGGTTGTGATTTGGATTAGAGAAAGCTCAAAGGTCCAAGTTAGGTTAGTAAATGTTTTTTTTAGTTGCAGATGCTAAGTTAACCCCATACAAGTTCACTAAGAGGAAAAAAAAAAAAAAGTTCATCTGAATCTTGAAACCAAAGGGCAGAAACCATCTGTAAAACCAAAGCATACAGCAGCAGTTGTTCTGAACTACACAATGCTCAGTAAAAGGCTACTGTTCACGAAGTCACTCTGTACAGAGATGTGATACAGGGAAATTAAATGTGTGAGTACAAATCTCCCCATGGAGAGAGTTGCAGCCCCAATGCAGGAGCAGTAATTTCTAATACAGTGGGAGAAAATAGGAAACCACCTTCCCTAGTAAAGTAGTTTCACAGCTGCCTGTGAGAGAATGCAGAGAAATGCTGGCACAGAGAAACATCACTAGATTTATGAAGAACCCTCCCCGGGCTTCTATTGAGGTGCTCACCTAATTGCATGATGGGTGTCTATCAGTTCTATGATGCTAAACCGAAAAAAAGAATCAAGGCTGCTAAATCAACTATGTGGGGAACTGGATGTGAGAAGCCCTAACTGCTACAACTTGAACACAAGAGTGGTCTCAGCTGTGCCTCTGGGGCTGCTCAAGTTGCAGTCTGAGTAGCAGAAGACTTGGCATTTATGTTCTTTTACAAGGCCCATGGTATGTTCTGTTACGAGTTTTTCAAGAAAGAAGAGGTTTTTTTCTATCAATTATATACAAAGGTAAACAGAAGCTTTCTGAAGGATCTTGTCCACTGATATTCTGCTTAGTAACTACCATCAAAAAGGTCATCCTCAGCAGTCTGCAAGGACTCAGATCTATTAGAACAGAGAGCTTTAAACATAAAAACATGGAAAATTTTGAGATGAGAAAAATTCACGTTGAGAGTACAACAAGTAATACTAAATACATCTCTTCCAGCAAATGCTACCACTAAAGGTGGTGGGTGGATGAGATCTGCCCCTGCTGTGATGTAAGTTACAGTACCAACGTACCTTATGGCCATCTGCTGCATTCAGAGTTATCGATCTTCCAATCTGTGTATCTTTTTGGTCATCCCTGAGCAGTCAAGGATCCACAAATCAAAAAATGAGGAACAACTTTTTTTTTGAACACAAAATATTTTTTTGTCTGAGACCATGTAACCAGTTTGACTTCAGGATAATTGCTACTGACACACATAGATCTTGGGGCACTGTTCTTCGGAGTTGAAACATGACACAGTGGTTTGAAATAGCCTAGTTCACCTTGACTGCTGTGTTAAAGATTCAGTCACATCACATAAGAAAAGCGATCCTACCATCTTATAAACAGTGATAGAACTTCTGTCCATCTTCATCACAGTTTTATGTATGTGAACAACTTCAGGGCTTTTTGAGCTGAACTTAAGTATGATGAAGAAAAGCTGTTTTATTTCCATCTCCAAAATCTTTTAGAACAGTAGCACTAGTACTTGCTCTACTTAATGAGCCACTGAGAAGGCTACCATCATTAGGCATTAGCTATGCTTATATCTCTTAATAGATTCCTAACTCTTAAGACAATATCCCTGAAAAAGAGCTCAAGAATTCAATTAATGTCCTTTTCTCCCTCGTGAGACCAGTTCCTTCGATTTCTCTTGGCCTGAATCTTCAAGACTGGAAAATGACCTTATTTCAAAAAGGAGCAGCGTTTATTTGGCTTCCCTGCCCCAACTTGATCTTGAATTTTCAACTTTTTTCTTCTTTCATTTGATGGAAAAGCTCCTACAATGCTAAAAATCAGGGACAAGTCTCTACAAGCAGTACTGGGACAGCTGTTATCTACTGACATAAAAGGAGGATGGAGTAAAGCCAAATCCTCTATTCTATTGAAAATAATGAGTAGTAACTGTCAGCTCAAAGAGGGGAGTGGTTCACGCTTCTCAACCTGAAGCATACTTCTTTTCTGTTAAATGAATTTTATTTAAAAAAAATTCTGAGTAGCTCAGAAAGTAGAACTGATCATGTCCCTTGAAAGGAACAGCACTCTGTATTTATCAGCTAGCACAAGACTTACATTCAATTCCCTTAACTACAATGTTCTATTGAATTAAGAAAAAAAAATGAACACAAGTTTCCTCATTGTACTTGTGAAAATCATCAAATCTCGTCTTCCTCCCCATCTGTCTTAAGTTCTACTGCAAATGAAAACAATTTACAAATTTACACTCTGGAGAAATTAATAAGGCTGATTTGGCCACTCTGTACATAGCAGGGGGGTTGAAACTCGATCACTCTGGTCTTTTTCAACCCATGCCATTCTGTGATGATTCTATGATGATTTTCACGTGATACTATAGGAAAGTATATAAACTCTTGTACAATGATTGTCATCGTGTAACTTTTTAAGAACAATTTGTATGAGGAAGAAACAGCAGCCATTTTCAAACACACTTCTTTCCTATTTGCAAAGGAAAGAGAATAGGTGGAGAAAAAAACAATCTTTGCCTCTCTTCCCTCTCAAAGAAAAGAAAACACATAACTGAACTGCTTGTTGCTGTTGCAAAATTTTCCTGAGTTTACAGGGCTGTTTCTAACCCAGCTGTAAGATGTTCAAACAAATACTGACTATCTGAATACTGAGAATGAGGCAAGAGCTCTCATTTTTTAATACAAAGATTTGTTTAAATATTTGTCATCACAAAAAATTGGTGTTTATGTATAAATAATCTGTTGTTACCAACTTCAAGAACAGGAAGAAGCTGGAGTTGATTAGTATTCAATTTGTTCCTGAGTAAATAAGAAATATTTAAGGTTTGGTGTAACTTCTTTGTCTTGATTACGCCCTCTTCAAAAACTTTCACAAGGCAAATGTGATAATAGACAAAAAGCTAATTAACTAACAAGGCCTGATCCTAGCTTCCTTTCTTCTCCCTCTTGTCCCCCCCCTCCAATAGTATTGACAAGTGAACATTAGAAAGAAGCTTCCTGAAATTAAATCCTAAATACACGCAGTATTTTCCTAAGCTATTTTCCTATTACTCTGAAACAAAAACATTAAGGTCTTGAATGTACAATCCTTGAAAGAAAATTCTCTTTTTCTGTATTAAAAGCAAGATTTAAAAACAAGTCATACAGTAGCAGATAGCTCAGATAGTCATACATGTGTATATATTACATGCTGTAACCAGCAAACACATCAGTGGAGCAGAAAGCATGTTTTGATACAGAACTGCTGTAAATTCAGGTCACAATTTATCTTCTCCTTTTCACGTTAGGATCATACCTGCAACAAAAAAAGAAGTTGTCACAAATAAGCATGGCTCCATGATATTTAAATGTAAGAATGTAACACAAATGATTTTATTATACAATTATAACAAGGGATTAGGCAACGTTCAGTCCTTTCCCAGACTGCACCTGTGATTAATTATTGTTGCTACAATTTGACTGAAGAATGGAGAAGTTAAACCTGTGCATGAACTGAAGGTAACACTCTTCCCTGGCTCCTTTCCTAGCTACTCAAAATCTTTCTGTCTATCCCACACATAAGCAAGATTCTCCAAGCCTGTAAGTATCCATACATAACTGAGACACCCTGCAAAAAAAAGTCCAGAGGCCAGGGGTAGAAGAGTACTGTACATTCACAGCAATGTACATTTGGCCAAAACTCATTCAGCAAAAATCCTCCTATTGCCTCCTACACCCATACAGCAATTCCCTGTTTTATCTTCTTTATACAGCTTCTGATTGACTTCTAGTTACTAGTATCTACTTTCTGGAAAAAAAATTAGATTTCTGAGTTACAGCAATATATTTACGATTTTCCTGTGCTACGCCCCTTGGCCTTCTTTTTCTTCATTTGTGCTTCACTTCCCCAAATCCCATGTCCCTTCTTTGAAATTCTGATATGCTTTGTACTCACGCGCGGAAAACTTATGGACACAACAAATGGTCAGGCAGTTTTACTTCCACTCATTCTGAGCTCATTCATCAGGACTTTTTTTTGCTTAGGCAGGAAAATGTCACAACTTCTGAGCCAAATTACATCACCATATAATTACAAAGCTATTATAGAATTTACTGCTCTAACACATGAAACGTGTATCCTTTGAAAGCAACGCTCTATTATTAACTATTAATGAACAACACAAGCTGTTAATACAGTAAGCTTTTCTGAATGGCTTGTACACATGTTGATACTCAGTATGATGTCATTTTGACAGTCAGTTGGACAAACACCACTTTCTTCACAATCTACACTTTTCTACCAAAATGTACAGTTTTTAGAATTTGTCAAATGCATGTCAGGTCAGAAGACACACAGTGGTTTTTTGCTTCTTCACATAAAAATGAGAGAATAATTAAAGCTTTGCTGACCAAAATGAGACCCTTATACTCAATCTCATTTGACTTCATTGCTAGAACATTGTTACAAATGAATTGTAACATTTAAGGATGTCCTGGACACCAAAACACATTCAGAGATCTCGAAGAACTGATAAAATCAGAGGAGACATTTCATGGTGTCCCGATGGCAGGGTTCCAGCTTCAACTCCATCTGAGACTGTCTATGGAGAAGATGACACTGACCATCACGAACACCTTTCTATTTAATCCTCCATCTCACCTTCAGTCATTTTTCATGCTAAACGAATCCTGGATGATGTTTTCCAAACAGAATGAAATCAAACAGTATCTGAGAAAGGAAACTCTACGGTGACTGTGGCTTGGACCAGAAAGAAAGCTACAGAGATTCCATCGCTGGCATAAATGTACAAAGAAACAAAAGGCTTTGCTGGGAAAAGGGAATGAAGGGCACAAAGGGGTGTTACTAAGCATAACCAATTTATTTGTAGTCTTAGCAGAAAGATATTTCCTTCCCTTCTGTCTCGTTTCTCTCTCTGAATCAAAAGTAGATGAAGGTATGGATTTTCTTTCCAACTCATCTTTACCTTGGAGCATGAGTGTTGCTAATTTCATTTTCAAATGCAATTTTCAGGGGAAATTGCAGCTGTTAAAATTAGCATCACACCAACCAGTTTTGCTCAGGATTAAGGACAAAATTAGAAGTAGGTTACGATCTGCTGAACATTAAATTACGTGTTCGAGTATTTTTGGAAACTTCGGGACATGCCACTATCCCAAATAAATTGGCACTAAGGTCAAAACTGTTCTAAGCATGAATGCACGTGAATTATCTAAGCTTCCACTGCTTTTGAAAGGTTCAAATTAATCAAGATACTTTAGATCAGTTAATTTTCTAGCACAGCAATCAAGCTGCACCATGTATTTGTATAAATGTATTCGTAATTGTCATGCATTTAAATGTACTGCAAACATAACACCTGGATAAGATAGCAAACTTGGCATAGAACATCTGGAAAGCAGTTACAGAGCACTGAAATTTAAGACTGGAGTTGAAAGTGGCCAGACAAGAAATCAATTGAATAAGATGATTTTCCATACTCTTTCAAAAGAGAGATGAGGAAAAGTAGTAAGCAACTGAAACAAGGGAAAATGGAAGAAAACCACTACTACAATGAATTATGCCAAAAAGCATAGGAAATATAACATTTAGGTGTATTTATACATTGTTAAGTTTTTGGAAGTCATTACCTCAAAGGTTAAAAAAGATCATTCTGATGATCCCTTCTTTCACAGAAATATCATTCCTTGCTTTAGGCCCCTCAGCACAAGACAGACAAGTACCACGGCTAGCACTGAAGTCACAAACTCCAGAACTGTTCCTTAGGAATTCAGATGACCGGCTTAAATCTAACACCAAACTGTTTCATCAGGCAAACGCTAATGGCACAGAGCTTGACTCTGGAAATCTCTTCCAGTCTTTGTGAATAATCAGCCAGAGAATCACGCAGTGTCCTGAGGAGCTGAAAGGGACCCGAAAGGAACACCAGAAGTTCAACTTCTGGCTCCACACAGAACTACGACAAGAGACAGGAAATGGCAACATTCTCGTTTGAGAATGTTCTTTTAAAATCATTAGGGTAATTCTGAAGTGGAAGTTTAAAGCAAAAACAAACAAACAAACAAACTGAGAGTTGTAATTGAAAGTTACCTTGAGTATAATTCCATACATGGAAATACAAGAGACTTTGAAAAGAATAGGCAAAGAAACAGCCTTTGCAGAACTGGCATTTGTCCAAAAAAAAAAAAAAAAAAAAAAAAGAGACATGATGAAAGATGCATCTTTTATAAACATAAGCATAAACCTCTTACCTAAAGAGATCATCAGCAAGCGATTCTTCTCTGGCACGTCGATTCTGTTCCTGAAAAAACAGGATTTTTCAACACGGTATATTAAGAATTAACATACTTTCTCCATGCAAGTTCATGATGGATAATGTATTTCATTAGTCAAGGCTGGCTACTGATGCCAACTGGCAGATCAGTTTGTGAATTGGTCAGAAATTAGCTTTCTGTTTTTCAAGGCAGTGTAGAAACAGGGGAAATTTTGTCTGATTATAGGGAAATCTTAATTAGCATTATCTACATCCAGGAACTAAAAAAAAAAAAGAGATAACAATGGGATTTGATCAGGCGATGGAAACAAAGTATGGATCATCAGCAAGTACTTTTGAAGAAAGTACTGGAAAACGAAACTGCTGGTGAGTGCTGTCATAAAGTCCTATGTAAAAAGAGAAAAAAAGCATAAAACTTCCCAGTGCATTTCTTAGTATATTGCAACAGAATTTTACTCAGGTATTTTCTGTTCTGTTCAAGAGAACACAGAGTATCAACTGCACATTGTAACAATTTAAACAAAGATTAATACACAAAAGTTCTTCCTGCCTCTCTGTCACATTTGTAGGAACCACAATTTATCATCCTGCTTATTTCAGTTACTAAAAAAAAAAAAAACAAAAACCCAAACTCATTTCATGTTACTGATTTCGATTTAAATCATTATTACTGACTATATGAATTCTTAATGTAAAATGAATTCAAATTATCAGCAAAAAAGAAAAACCAAAACTCAAGCCTTATATCTGTCTTCTGGCGTTCAGTAATGTTTCTAATGCACGTGTAACAGCTAATTTGCTGAGCTTTATTTCAAAAGTAAAATTTCCAAGTATTTCAGAAATGACCACAGCTCAGGATGACCATTTTCAAGAGCGAAGTTTTGGTTTTGCTCATCTTTGAGAAAAAATTCCTTACCTCCAATTCTTCTCTTAACCATTCTTCCAGTTCTGAATTCTTTCTGGTTTGGTGAGCAACCAAATCTGATCCTCCAATAATGTATGGAAGTTGCCCAGCCCCTGGATAAGGGACCTGGAGACAATAAATTCTTAAAGTTACAATGCAAGGCAAGCATAATGCAGGAAAAAGTTCAGCAATGAAAGTCAGTCTTTCTCTGAATGACATTTATCAGACATTACACTTAAAAGAGACTGAAGGGAAAAAAGTATTTACTGCAAGCTACTGATTCCCTCCTTTTGCCAAAGGAAACAAAAAATAGCTAATAAATATGATATACACTAAATGAAATCTGAAAACATTATAAACTGATTTTTACAGATAGAATCTATTTTACATCAAAATACATAAACCTCTATTACAGAAGGATGGCAACTAAAATACTATCAGAAATTTTAAATATTTTCTGAAATGACGACTTACAGATAGCTGGAAGCTTCATTATTTGATGAACATTATTATATTTTAGTGAAATGCAATTGCAGTGATCTTAAGCCATATATCCTCACTAGAAATATTTATGGCATATATACAAATATATTTGTACTTATTTTTAATATAAATAGGTACTTTCACACTAAACACTAAGAATTTTCTTAAAGTTATCCTCAGGAGCCAAGCAAGCAATAGTCTTACAAAAGTAAGATATTAATTTCAGTTCCATTTAATTATTCAGATGTTATTTTCTAAAATGCAAGATTCAGAATCAGCATATTCTCTTTGGAGAAGTTTAATTGCAAACTTCTGGAGGTACAACCTCAAGTTATGCTTTTACTAAGGTTATGCTGGGCATCACTTAGCAATTTAGAATAAGTAGCAGCTTGGAAGAAATTATGAGGATGTAAAGAATCTTTATCAACCCAGTACTTTCTGGTGAGTTAGAAAAATACTTGTTAATAATATGTATGACACTGAAACTGTTTAGTTTTCTGTGGTTATTATCAATTTAAAAATATTCAGAATATTTTTTCTACTGTACTAAGGAACATTTCTGCAGCATTAAGGAAGTACTTCCTAACATTTTAAACAGTTCCATCTTGTGACCATTTCAAATACACACCTTTCTGAACGTTTTGAAATTGTTCTGTCCCCTGCATTTGGTATTTCTAATAGTCGGGCTGTTTGGTCTTGGACAGCTGACAACCAGTGATCGAAACTCAGTCAACAGAAGTTTGCTAGGAAGATGGCTGGAGTCATCTTCAAGTTTGTTGTGGTTCTTATATGGGAAGAAAAAGAACGGAGCACTTTAAGTGTATGAAATGACATAAAATGTATCTCTCACTGCCTTCTCGTATACTACCATCAGAGATTGATGCTACGCGAATTTATTTCTCCCATATTTACATCTGCTGAAAGCACAGGATTATTAAAAACTGCAGTCATAATCATGAGGTTAGTGCACCTCATTTTACTAGGATATCACAGAATGGCCAGGATTGGAAGGGACCTCAAGGATCATGAATCTCCAACCCACTGCCACAGGCAGGGCCACCAACCTCCACATTTAATACCAGACCAGGCTGCCCAGGGCCTCATCCAATTTGGCCTTGCACACCTCCAGGGATGGGGCATCCACAACCTCTGGGCAGCCTGTTCCAGCACCTCATCACTCTCCCTGTAAAGAACTTAATATACATATATTATATAGTATAATATACATACTTTTCTTTCAAGCTATTATCTAAGAATTACTTCTCTCCTCCACTCTGCCTCTAACCTGGACTAATTTAATTGTTTAATCTAACAGAATAAACATTGTTTATTCTAACAGAAGCTCCAAGGAAGAATACATTGAATGTCTTCGGCTCAATTCTAGCCTACAGATTTAATTTTAGACCAACTTTGTCATGATAAACTGAATCTGATAAATGAAACAACTTTATCTTGTACATGCAAACACTCATCTGTCAGCTAGTCTGCATGACTACTTTGCACCTTGGGATCTGATCTATGTAGATTAAGAATGAAGTCTGGGTGGAAGACAAGTAACAGACAATATCTTCAGGGACAGGTCTAGACCAGGTACAGCACTGCTATTTCATTGTAATATAATCTAAGATGACCCTGCACTTTGGTATACTTGCACTTCCCTTTTCTTGAATTGTACTGCATACCCGTGCTAAATGAAGAATAAAATAAAATCCTGCTGCTTGTGGACTAGCTGCACTCTTCTCTCTACAGAATCTTTCCATTTCTGATGCACTGCCATTCCCACCTATTCTCTTTCATTAATTCATTCTCCCACAGTAATCTCACCTATAACAGTATGCTATTTACTATTAACCACCATACGTTACATTAGTTTTCCCAATGGCCCATCTGTTTCATTTCCCAATGAACCTCCTTAGAGCAGCCAAGGAGATCTCATTCTTGTCTGTCTTTAAGTAGTTACCTAATATAAACATCTGTACCAGTATTAACGACACTGAAAAGTGAGTACAATTACACTAGGTTCCTGTAATCTCACATATCCATAAAAAACAACTCTATGTAAACATAAACAACAGTTCTGCCTTTACAGAGTAAGTAATTGGCCCACACTATTCAAATTTAAGTGTGATTACTTTCAGGAGTTCTATCTCCAGAGTTCCTTACTCTGAATTATGATTTCCCAGTATTACGTTCTTAACAGCAAAATTTTTGTGTATTTTCTTAACAATTCTCAAAGTTACAAAACTTACAATAAATTTGTTTCTTACTGAGACCGATGATTCTTCCTCGATCTCACTTTTCTCTTCCAGAGTCAGAACTGATCCAACTTCATCTTTTCTCTATTGATTAAATGTTGAAATTAAACATAAATTACAGAGCTATAAATTAGGTAAAATCACTTTCTGCCTTTTATTGTGGAATAAGCATGTTTAGATCAATATAAATACATAGAAAATAAACTGTAATGAGGCATGCTTGTACTTAGAAAACCATATGGTTTTATGTACACTGCAGTAAATCTGGTTTGGGATAGAAATGAGGATTTTTTGCTGGCATGTTTTTTTCTTACACAAGTAGCAAATGTTTTGTGCACGTTTTCAAAGTCCTGCCACGTTCTACAAAATACTTTGAAAGCTTATGAATATAATAAACAGTACAATTTTCAATTTCATTAAAGTGTGCGTGCGTAGAAAGTAAATTTCACTGCCAGGATAGGAAAGCATTTTGATGGCTGCTTTCATCTCGAAGGTTAAATCTGTTTTGCTTCTTCTAAATGGCTTTCAGTGGTTGAAGACAATCAGGTCAGCTTTATGTACCCCATAGATTTTAAGCCAGTTACCCACATCATCTGTCTTGTCAGACAAGCAAAGTGTTTCTATGCTTAAAGAAAACAGGTAATGTGCCTGTAGGGCTTTATCATGAACCCTTCCTATTTCACAAAAAAAGTAATTTATCTGAAGAAAACAGATCTTTGTTAATTAATCACAGAATCATAGAATGGTTTGGGTTGGAAGGCACCTTAAGATCACCTAATTCCAACCCCCTGCTATAGGCAGGGACACCTCCCTCTAGACCAGGCTGCTCACAGCCCTATTAAGCTGGCCTTGAATGCTTCCAAGGAGGGGGCATCCTCATCTACCAGAAGACTTTTTCTCAGCAAAAATTTAGTATGCATAGTTAAAATAATAAAAGAACAATTTAGTTACACTTAAGAATTTTCCTTCCCTTACGACTCTACACGATCAGATGAGCAAAACTTCTCAGATCATAAAAAAAGCCTAAGACTATACCAAGCAACCATTTCAGAGTCTCAGTACAGTCAGACCCAACAGAAAGTACTTCCTCTCTGATATTACAAACCAAACAAACAAAATAACAAAGAAACAACTCTACAATTAGATTATTTCCTTGTCTTTAAAAACCTGCCAGCTATAAACATTAAAAAAAAGTTTATAAAATTATACCAAAGTTCTAAATTCACAGAAGCAATTTCAAGTATCAGGAGAAGAGCACCAAGTTGGTATCAACTATGGGAGCATGATTGAGAATGCTGTCTTACAAACTCCAGCTACTCAATTGTGCATTTATTTCTTACAGTATTTAAATACTGCTTAGACCATGTAAGAATTGGCTGGAAGTGAGCTCTAGAATTTTTCAACTAGAAATCTTTCCTTTTTTCTTGTTACTGCTTTGGTTTAGTTCCCCCCTCCCACTAAAGTGGCTGCTTTTCTACATTTCTCTTAGAAAAAAAATATCTTATCCTGAAAAAGAAAATTGAAAAAAAGGAATTATAAGCTACTAGATGATGAATACACTGTATCCTCTTCTCTAGCCTAATTCACATTTCTGCTTCTCACAGGGTAATAACCATTTTCCATTAAACAGAAATGTTTAGATTAAGAAAAAAAAGAAACTGAACTGCAATATACTTTTAAAAGTATGTACTTTTTAGATTAAATTTTAAGTTTGCAAGGCTCATCAATTTGCAAACCAGGGAATGAATATGGAATGAGAGTATTTACACTACGATGAAGCTACATAAATCTGAAGGCTGACATTTTGGAACTTCTGAAGTTTGGCATCTGGTTACCAGATACAAACATGAGTCACACCTCACCCCCGAACTCTTCTTTCAAGTGATATGTTTTCAAAACTTCTGAACTACTTTCTAAAACGTGACACTGAGACTGTCAATATTTTACCAGACATTCTGCATGTACTGCTTAGTGGCACTATTTATTTTAAATGGGCATGAAGGGTTTGAATTGCCTCATGCTGGAATTCTAATGATCTCTTACATGTCACATCTAGAGATTCCCAGTTGAAAGGTGTTGGATGCTATTGTGGTGTTCAACAGAAGAGGTCACCATAAAGTTTCTTCAGGAAATTCTTTATATAATTGCATATTATTTCTTATATTAACATTACAATTAATACAACAATGCATGCCATGAGAAGTTATTGAACCACTGACATATTCTGCCATTCTGCTTGCACTGCTTTGAGCAAAGAGAGGAAAAACTTCAGGATATGAGCAGTTTTCAATTCACAAGGAAACAGTGTTAAAATTAAAAATAAAAATAAAAAAAAGAGTAGATGGGTGTAAAGCTGTAATGTATGAACAACCTTCCTTATCCTTAAAGAAGCCGTTTGCTTCCTTCAAACACAGTCATAAACTTCAAGATCAGGCATGTAAAAAGAATGTAACTTACCAACATTTCATTCTCCTCTCTCTGCTTTGTATTTCCTTCTTCTGTTCTGCTGCCTTTGGTTTCCAGACATCTCCTCTTTCGTTTATTGCTTTGAGCTTCCTGGTCACCATTTGCTGTTTGCTCTTCCCAGTCTAAGTCTCTGCTTTCAAACACCATCTCTAGTGTCTCTAAATCTTCAGATACATCACCTAACTCCTTTCTTTTCTTTGGTGCAGGATTTTCACTAAAAGTAATTTTAGTGTCAGTTTTATCACTTGCTATTTCACTAGTTTCCCTTCCAAGCTGGATGTTATTTCCCTTTCGATGCTGTTCTTTTTCACTGTCCCACGTTGATGAAGCTGAGGATTCAGTGCACTTGGAAACAAGCAACGGCCTTTTCTCCAGTTTTGCTAGTTTGGGTACAGATGTGTCTTCTCCTTCTTCAGCTCTTTCCCTTAGCCATAAAGTAATCACAAAATAAAAAATAAATTACAAAAATGTCTTTGAATATGATTAGCTGGATCTGCCAACATAACAGCTTCCTGAGGTTTTAATGATGGCACTGTGAAGTTTGAGTGTAAATACTCTTGAGAAATAGCTTTCCCTTTTCAGAAGCTTTTCATTAACTCTGTTTTGAATAAAACTTACACCACTTGAGCTATGCAACAACAGCAATAACATAACAATAAGTAATATCAAAAACCTACCTTTTCCTAGCAACATGGAAGTAATTTGTAATTGAATTAGACTGCTGACGTGGAGTGCACTCTCTAGGTTTATCTCCTTCCAAAATTTTAGATGGAGATGCTGGATGATTTTTTTGACTAAACCCAGATGTTCTGTTCACTTTAGATATCAATGTTCCTGTATTTGCAGTGCCACTTGTGCTAGGGTTCTCCTTTACAGAAGTTTGCTGGAAAGCCCCTTTTTCCCTCCTCTTTGTCTGGGAAGTCTTATTTTCTATCTCCATACTATAGCAGAGAGAAAAAACATGTGCATTAGGTGAACACAAAAAGTTACCACTGCTATATATGTTGCATAATACTGCTCTTTAAAAAAACTCACTTGTTCTTTGAATATAAACAATGTATTTATGCTAACAACTGATACTGTAAAATCTGCTAAAATATTTACCTTACATTGGTAATGAAATTGGTTCATGGCTTAAAAACTCTGAATACAATTAAGATAGTCAGATAGGCAACACCTACATTCCTATTTATTAATCCGTATTGTCACTTATCACTTGAAAGCAGAAATCAGCTCACTGCAGACAACTGACAGCAATTTACTAAGTGCCATTTTGAACACTGTGTGCCTTTGTCCACGGCGCTGATGAAGTCCCTCTACCACAAGAGTGCATTATTTGCAAGTTTTAGCTCAGAAACCATTTTCATGCATACTTTACCATGTCTGCTCTTCAATTTCTGTATCAGCTACATATAATGCACTGTTATCTGCAGCAGCTGTTGGCATTATTGTTTCATCCACAGCCAAGCTCTGAGAAATGGCTGGCCCCGCTCCTGATGCAGCATTTGCAGTTACAGCTGCAAGATCAACACAAGAGAAGAATCAAAAGATTAATATCCAATGTTTTTCTTTGCATGTAACATCACACAACCACCTTAACTAATGAGGTAAGACTTTTGGAAAATGGTATTCACAGAATCATAGAATTGCTCAGGTTGAAAAAGACTTTCAAGATCAAGTCCAACCACAGCCTAACCTTGCTATCCTAACAACTCACTGCTAAATCATGTCTCTGAGCACCACAACCAAATGGTTTTTAAACACATTCAGGTATGGTGACTCAACCACCTTCCTGGGGAGCCTATGCACGCAGTTCTGATTTTAAAAAATCATGTAGATTTTAAAAAATCATGCAGATCAAACAAGTAAACAAACAAAAACCCAACTAGAAGAAACCACATTCTAAATGACTAAATTCTAGGGTTTGGTTTTGGTTAAATATTCTGCTGAATTAAGAAACAGAATTTTGCTTAAATGAGAATGAAGTGCTATGGAAAACTACTTCATTTTATGGTCATGATATATAAATCTGCCAAACTGTCAGAGCACGAAGTCCAACATCTGTTTACATTTACTTTTGTATAACCATCTGTTAACAACAATCATCATCCTAGGGATTATCCCTAAAAATACTAAACTCCTGTTTGTTATCAAAATATCTCACAATAAATGTCTTCTTTGGCCAACTGGCCATAACTAGGTCATCAAAGGAGTGCCATAAAAACCTGCTTGCTGCTCTGTTTACTTACTTGCATTACTGTTCTACAGGACCAAAAGAAATGTATATATACCATCTTTTATATTGTTTGCCCTTTCACTTCTCTTTGTCTTCTCTAAGACAAAGGATACTAAGGTCAACTATTTTAATATGTATGTCACATCATTGTCCTTCCAAAGATTATTTATTTATTTATTTATTTATTTTTACAACATACCACTCAGTCCCTTACAATTTTGCTGCATCTCATTCTGTTAAGTCTGTGCCAGCATTATCCCTTCTTTCAGATGACACGTTTTATACATGTATTTTCTCCTGCCACTGTAACCCACAGAGGAATAACCTACAGAAACATCTCTGCCTCTTTCTTGAGCTTCCACATCTTAAATGCTTTTACATGATTACTATAAAGTTAGATGAGCAAGGTACCAGTATCTTGACATTCATTGTTGAGCCACAAAACTGGTGAGGGCTCAGGAGCACAGGTCTTATGAGGAGCAGCTGAGAGAGCTGGGATTGTTTAGTCTGGAGAAGAGGAGGCTCAGAGGAGACCTTACTGCACTCTAGAACTTCCTGAAGAGAGGTTGTGATGAGGAGGGGCAATTTATTTAATTTATTTAATTGTCTGATGTGTTAATAGCATTAAATTTAATGTGAGAATCCATTTATTTTCTGTTGTTTTCTAAACTTCACTGGACAGACAACAGACTACATGTAAACCATTCATACAAGAACTCTAGTCAATCAAAACATTTATCAGGCCTCTGCCAGTACTGCTGCAATATTTTCTCTCTTCAAAATACATTTCAGAATAAGAAATGCTCTTATATGTAAAGTTAAAAAAGTAAAAGTTGAGTTGAACAACAACAACAACAAACCAAAATCCTACACTTAAGTTGTAGGATTTACTACCTGATCTATCACTTTGTAGAAAAGAACAGAACCTAAAATTATTCTATGAAATTGTCAGAATTACGTGTAACAAACTGCCCTCTAGCAATTTCGGAAGCAGCATGAAAAGAAAATTAGACCAAAAAAATATATAACCTGACTCTCAAAGACTTTCACTGCTGCTCTATTGGCAAATATAACTTACGTTTCAAGACAAAAAATGAAATGTACATTCTCCATACTGTTACTTCAGCAAATGTGGCAATGCTGCCTCACTGTCTTGACTTGTTACTTTAAGATTAGGTTTGATTTTGATCTGGAAGTGGGGGTGGAGGGGATTTACCTAAAGAAAATTCTTCTGAGTGCAAAAGAAAGCAAGCCTTTACAAATTAATTTAGTTCTTATTCTCTAGGTTTTGAACTATGAGTTATAACTATGAGTTATAACTCATTACTCCAGTCTCTTCATTAAAGAATTGAATAGCTTGGAATTCACAACTACTATACACATTGATTTAGCAGCTACTAAAACTACCAACTTCAGAATGTTGTCTTGAAGTATTTTTCCTTGAAACGTCAAATAACTGCATCTGTTTTTCACTTTAACTTTAGAAGTTAGGTCTTTTTAATATTAAATCTACACCTGTAGGTCACATCATTTTCAATGTAGCTTATAGCAAGCTGTTGAGAAAACATTTATCTTTTCAGATTAGCATACATTTTTCATGCAGTGTCATTCTATTTTGGTGGTACTGCAAAATAAAGGAACCTTGGCATCATCACCTGATGCTCTGTACAAAAAGAAATGCTACTTCTTTACTGCTGCTAACTTAGCACTAGCCTTCCTCCAGTTACCTTTGTTATCAGGCTGCCTCTGAGGGTTGCAGTATCTTTCTGTAGACATGAAGATAACTGCCAATCCAATTTCTGCTTCAGGAATAGCCCTGAGATTGTTGCTGTTAACATACAGAAAGTCAACACGTAAAAATAAGTTTCTCAGTTCAGGTTCAAAGCTGAAGAGGCAAACAAGCACATATATGTCAAGATACAAAATGCTCATCACGCATTGCTACTGTACTACAGCCACGAGAGGAGCTTGAATATAAATGTTTTCTCTGTTTAGCAGGGCAATTCACGGTGACGAGACTTAACTATTAGGTTAAGATTTGGGATTATGTTTTCTTTGATTGTTTATTACAGTACTACAAAAATACTAACATCTACAGAACAGGTAACCTGCTCTCTGAAAAAAAAAAAAAATATATATATATATATAATTTATATATACCTATACAGAACACAAGTGGCCTTTCACAGTCAATATATGTGAGTAGATAGACAGCAAGGAGCCACAGGGCCTCAAAGTGCCCCAGATTTCACGGAAAACATGAAATATGTATGACTATTGAAAAAAAGAATAAAAAAATGATATATTCCCATATTTTTAGAATACATTCATTTTTAACTTTCTCTAAACAACAGAAAGGGAGCTTGACTTCTCTAACTTCAAACCAACTCAATGAGCAGAAAAGCCTCCAAAAAACCACCCGAATTTATAACTGCCAAATCCTTTCTTTCCTGCTTCAAGAAATTTTAGTTACTGTGCTACGCATTAAAACAATGCCCATCTAAGTATACTAGTGTATTCATACATATGCAAATACAGTGACTAAAATAATTGCAGAAATTCTAAACAATCCCCTTCCTGCGCAAGAGAACAACTATTCACCTTTCCAAGACCGTCAGAATGGAATCAGTCCAGTTTCTCATGGACTCAGATCCTAGGATCTGAGAGTTTGTCATCCCAACATCAACAACACAAACTTCGGGAGAAACCAGTAAGGAAGTTTCTTTTCTTCCCTCCGTCATCAGTTTTGCTTCTCCTCCTCCAAGAACAACTGCTGGACCCAGTTTCTTGTGCTAACAAAAGAACACAATTAAAACAATCTTAAAATACAGTCCATTGAGAAGTATGCTAACCTACCAGCACAAATCTCATTGCTCATGTATTAATGCAGAAGTGATGTGTTCTGTTTCTCCTCCTGCATTTGATCTTAATTAGGCTGTTGTCTTGTAAAAAGATAAAATACACAGAAATCTTTCCTGATGGCCCCAGAATGAGCCTGGATCCAGAGAAAACAGAATATATGCTTAGCTGTCCCCCAACATCTTTGCAGTGTAAAGCCCAGTTACCTGCTTGGCAGTCAGAAATACAAAAGTTTTTCCACTGAATATTTTTTTCCTTTCAGGACGTCCAGTTAAATCCATGTTATCAATACCAATGGAAGGCTCATCAACTGAAGGATAAAAGCTGTAAAAACCAAACATTAAAGTTACAAAATTGAGATTTTTGTATCAGTACTGATTGATAGTCCCTTCTGTTTTAGCTTTAAGCTGGGAAGTCAGAATACTTCACTGCTTTGTTTCTGTTAAAGCTATTTATAGAAATATTTCTTCAAGGGATTAAGAGAAAACAGAACCTCTCATTTCTCAATATCTGAACTTAGACCAACACTTCCACTTACTTCAGTAAAAGAACAATTTTTGGAAAGTACTCAACCTTCCAATCTCAAAATATCAACTACATCTACATTCTCCACTAACAACACTGACAAACTAGACTGCCATCTCATCCTGTGCTTGCCCAAACATATTGCTTCCACTGTCCTTCACTTGCGACAGCCACTCCTGTTTCTCTTGTATCGGACAGAGAACATCGTGTTCTACCATGCTGTGTGACAGCCTATTAAGCACACTTTTTTTCCTGGGGGCATAGAGAACTGAACTGATCAACTCTGCAGCTTCTTAGTGTTTGTCCAGTACAAGGAAAATGATACTGTGCTTGGGGCTCAGATTAGGTGGAAGAGAAACTCTAATCTGACATTTTAACTTTTGTGATCTGTGATCTCAGCTCCAGTTAATGACAGCATGCACTCATCATAAAAAAAAAACACCTCTAGAATAAAGACAAGCATTTTACTGATAATGCAACAGTACTTACAGGCTCCCAGAGCCACACGTTCTCTGCTACAGCAGACTCAACACACCACGGTGAAGATTAATTTTAAATGACCCTCTTATGTTCTTCCAAATAACTCCTCAAGCTTCATGTACACAATTAACAAACACATACCTTTTCAAGGTACAAATAATAGCAATACAGACTCAGATGAAAGTCTCTCGTACAATAAAGGGATTATTTTATGCTTTTCTACATGGACCACAGAATGACCAAATGGCTATTATGATCTTTTGTACCTTTGGAATAAATAGAGTGACCAAAATAACAATGATTTATTCCGTAGTAAAAATACACTTATCAAATTATTTTAACAGTATTTGATTCTCACATTAGTCTCACTTTCTCAAAAGAAAAGAAAAGAAAAAATCTATTATTTTGGTCAAGTTAACCTGCTTTGATCAAAATTTACAAGCTCTTTTCTCATGTGACAAGTGACAGAATGCAAAAAAACGATCTCAAGATGTGCCAAGGGAAGTTTATGTTGGACATTAGAAGTAATTTTTTTCACTGAGAGAGTGGTCAAGCATTGCCACAGGTAGCCCAGCAAAGAGGTGGAACCCCCAACCCTGGGGGTGTTCCACAGACAGGTAGATGCAGCGCTGAGGAACACGTTTTAGTGAAGGAAGTGTGGAAGGTCAGGTAAGATTGATGGTTAGACTTCATAATCTTGAAGGTCTTTTCCAATCTAAATAATTTTACAATTCTATGACTAAAGTCATAATCTAACTGTTTACTGGACGAAATATTTTTTTTTATAATGAAACAGGGTCAATATGGTGTCTTTCACACAAATCTAATTTTCTTCATTTTAATCTATCAACTCCCAAAAGAGTTTCTGTGGTGCTTCAAACACATCACCATAGAGATTGCTATAGCAACCTTTCTGAAAACAAGCTCCTGTCTAGAGCTAGTAACATCTCTAAGCATATAATCAAACCCAAGAGCTCACCTTGTGAGTCTAGATATGAGAAGAAAATTGCCTAAAGATTAAAACGGTAGGCATTCTTCCACAAACAAAGCTACTGTAATTCACATATTCTGCCAAATATCAGCAGGTAAGTGTGCAATTACTTGATAATCTAACTCACATAAAATTAATTCTGTAACATTGAAAGCAATACTTACTTTTCAGGAGTTGGCAGTTGTTGCCTGGACTGAACAGCTTTCATTAATTCATTAAAAAACTCTGGTTTTACAATTGGTCGTCCACAAATCAAAGCACATATTGTCTGAGAAGAGAGAAGACACGTATTTAACATACAGAAAAAGCCTAACTAGAATATGGTTCAAATGACTGTAGCTTTATAATATCTTAGATCACACAGACATCTGTACACATCAAATCACATCTGTGTGATACGAACAGCTTTGCACAGATATAACTGTACTTGATTTTGCTATGGTAAAAAAGTGTCAATTTTACCTCTAACAGCACACCTTTTAGCTGCTGTCACTGAAATTATATATGGCAACTAATGAACAATCAGCAAGTCTTCAAGAGAACTAAAGCTCCAGTACACGAAGCAGTCATAGTATATTGTTGCTGTTGTTGTTTGGTTGGTTTATTGTCTTTTTGATTCTTTTTGTCTACAAAGTGACTAAATAAACATTAATACTCAATTTGTACAGTTATACTGGATATAATCAGTGAAATTGTAAAGGCTAAGCATTCTCCTCAAATACAGTGCGCTTCTATGAAACTACCTGAAAGTTAACATAAAAAAACTAAAAGAAAGACGATGATAAGCAAGATGAATACTAAAAACTCTGTCCTTCATTTAAAAGTACAAAACATCAGTAACAATGAAAAAAACCCACAAAATCAACAGCATATACCAAACCCCAACCCTCTACCTTAGGCAAATACTTAAAAATGATTAAAATCTAAGCAAATACTGTCTGATTAGACAGATTTATCTTACACAACTAGAATAATGTAAACTTTAATGTTTCTATTAACTTAGAAAGAAAAAAAATGCAAAGGTTGTTGTTCTTTTTTAACCATCCCAATACCCCCAGTAGGCTGATGTTAGCTTTTCCTCCAAGTGAGCTCTCTGATCCTAATTACTGTACGGCTGTATGAAAGGCACAGTCAGGAGAGGGAGCTACAGTACAGTGGGAGGAGACTCAATATACTCATGAACTGTGGAACTGGATCGGTGAGAAATTTAACAAAGTGGTGAAAGAAAGACCAGAAAAAAACAAACAAATGAAGAGAACATCTGCATACACAAAAGAACCAACCAATCAACAAGGTCACCTTTTTTTAATGACAGATAGGATTTCCCACAAATGCTACAGCAACACTGAGAGGGAGGAAAAAAGATTTTTCTTCATTTCTCTAAATTTCTTAATTTTCAAATACAACTTTTTCCCCTGTTCCATTTTTATTTCATTTTAAAATGGCATTTAGGCCAGAGAGACACCTTTCTGTCCCCATCCTCTTCTCACTCCCTTAGTTAACCTTTTTTTAGTTTTTTTTCCATTTTCTTTCCCTCCAACACGCATCTCTTCATGAAGTTGGAAGAATTGACTTCACAGAGGAAAATGCTGTCTAACTAAAATAAAACAACGCTTTGCCACAATCTTGAGCAGGTCTAGATTTCACATTAACAACAAAACTCAACATACCTTAACAGTAACTTTTACTGATGCCATTATAAGGTGAGTGCATTCTTTTGTCCATTCATTCACAACAAGACCTCCGAGCTGCTGGATGGCTTCATTTAAAGCAGTTTTCTGAGCAACATCTAAACATGAGGAGCAGACAACTAAAGATTCATATTCCACTCTGCAAAGAACAAGTAAAAGAAATGCTTTAGTAATTGTAGTAGCACTGTGATAAACAAAGCTGTCTTACGAATCACTTCTGTCTCACATAGAATTCCAATAAATAAATAGAGACCCCTGTGATTCTTACACTGTGCTTTAAATTGTCCTGATGAAAGCAAATAACTGATTTTTATAGAGAAAAATAAGCAGAATTTTGATTTGATGTTTCAAATGTTTATTCTTGAGACTTTTGATCTCAAGAAAGAGCACACACTCTTATCAGAATCAGTGCTTGAAGAACACTGCAAGGTTTGAGAACCAGAAACACTGGATGAAATCCAGCACATATTCCCAAAAGCAAGAAGTATGCTCAACAGAACAGTTCATTAACAGATTAGCATGTGAAAGACATGAGTTTTGTAGAATGCAAGTTCAAGAAACTTTTTTCTGAGACTGCTCTTACACTTGAACATACACCTGTTGTTATTTGTAGATCATCCATTTAGAATTACAGAATATCCAACTCTGTGATTTGATTTGGTGTAGGCTACAAAGGAGAAAATATTTTTATAATCATATCAATCATGGAAGTCATGATGTGACACATCTTTTAAAACACCAACGACAAATAAACTACATAATAAATAAACTACTTAATAAATCAAAATAATTTCAAAATGAATTATTATAAAAATAAGTACTAAAAGAGGGTTTCAGAAACAGGATGCAGAACACAGGAAAGTATTATTTGTTCCCTCTGCTTTCTAAAAACTCAAGAGGTAAATTCCCTTAGTGTTCTATCACTCATCAAGCTGTACGATGTGCTAAAACACTCTTTTTGAAAGCTGTTATTTTCCACTTAGTAGTTTATTGTCAGTCTGAGTACCTCTTACCTAAATTTGCTCTCAAAGACTCCAAAATTTACTCTGTCACCAGACTGCAAAGTCCTTGAAGTGCCACTCAATTTTGACCCATTAACAGAAGTACCATACTTGGAGGTGTCTTTGATTGTTAACACAGGGACTGAAACAGACTGACTCTGAAAATAAACATAAATAAGCTTTGGTAGTTCATCAGAAACAGGTTACATAAAAGAGATTCTGATTGATTGGCTTCAAAATATCCAGAGAAATTGCAAGATGTAATCAATACTGAAGTGCTGCCTGCCGATTCTCTTTGGAACATTTTTCTTTTCCACATTCCCCTAAACAAATACAGAAATAATGATGTGGAGTGAAACATGCATAACAGAATCAAGTCCACGATAATAAAATGGAAGCACTTTCCAGAACCAAGTTCTAAAGTTCTTCGACAAACTGAAATGTAACTGCATGATGTTCCCGCTGTGGTTACTTTACTACAAATTTCTAATCAATTTTCACTCTGAGAAAAATGCCCAAATAGGACCTTGGATCATTAGAACTATGTCAACAGATTTATCAGTATGGATTTATCAGCACAGACAAGCAACCCAGGGGAAAAAAAAATAAAATCAAGACTAAGAAAAGGCAGATGTTCAGTGGTTCTACTCCAGCTGTACTGTCATGGTATTCTGAGTTAACAATGCTGTGTATTTTTAATGCAGTAAAATGCTGGTTACTTACATGGGTTGTTTCAGGACGACTTACTGTCAGAACTGCATGACTTCGACTGATTGATTGATCATCCTGAATTAAAATAGCACAATTTTTGCGTCCAACAACATATTCGGTACCAACTAAAAGTCGAAATGGCTCTCCTAAAAATAAACAAGAGATAGAAAAATATCAATTTACAAGAATCTCCAAAACACTCAAATTTCTTAGGATCAATTCAGAAGTTTGTAAAGTATCCAATCCTTGTCTATACCTTGTCACGTATCATTTATTAGCCTGATCACAATCATGCATTTAATTTTTAGACTAAACGTGTTTCTTCCTCTGTCTGATATGAAAGGATAGGATTTCATAATTAAAACAAACAAAAAAAGAAGCAGTAACAAAACCAATGGTATTACATATTACCTTACATAATACCTTATTTCTTTTATCTCACATTATTTCTTCACAGAAGTACAAAAACACAATTTTTACAGGTACATAACTTACTAGCAGTATATAACTTAGGGACTAATTTAAGTGTTTCAGACAAAAATGCCTCCCTAAAGGGTGCTGAAAGACCTGCATTGTAAATCAGATAGATACTTAGGAAGTTTGGTCTCTGACCTATGATGTAGCTTTTGTCATCTAGATCATTTAAGAGTGCATGGCTCGAAGACATCCAAAAGGCATGGGTCACATACAAGCAGTGATTCAGAAGCTTTTATTGATAAAAATGAATGAATTAGAGACGATATTGTAATACAGATAACTGTCCAAATAAGAACAATGCAGAACTCATCATTCGGACTACAATGACTATACCAATGTGGTTTCCACACAGTAAGAGATCAAATTCTGTTCATTTCAGTACAAATAGATACTGCTCTCACTAAGATGCACCCCAAGCATCCTTAAGTCACTCCCAATGAAGCAAGCAAGAAAAAAAGAGATACAGCGGTGTTGTGACTGCCTTTTATAAGAAAGAGAAAGCATTCAAGTGAAAAAGCTGCTTTTGCATTATGAAACAATAGTCTTCAAAGTTGGTCAATAAATCAAAACTATGGACAAAGCTATGGATAAAGAAACTGAGGAACAACGGTGCAGTGATGACTGTCTGAAAACTGCATTCAAAAAACAACACAAAGTTTCAAGTTCAACACTGAGCCCCTGAAACATCAAGTGAAAAATAAAAGTCTGTACGAAGTCAGCCATCGTCCCTGGAAGAAGAGACTGAGAGACCTCTGCCCCTGGGCTCAGCGAGGAAGCACCTCGCTGACCCCGCTGGCTGCAGCAACGCTGGGACGCATCGCCAGCAAAGGTAACGGCACGTCTGCACTATCGCCAGCAACGGTAACAGGACATGGCCTCCGCGATCAGGGTTTCAGTGAGAAAGGGAGCCCTACCGGTTTCTAGAATGGAAAGCGAAAGTCGAGCCTCTAGGCGAGCAGCTTCCCAAGCAGGAGGTGGGAAGGGCCGGCCCGAGCCCAGGCGCGGGAGAGGCGCGGAAGGGCCCCAGACCCGCAGTGACCTCACCTGGTCCTGCGGCGGGCACCAGCTTCCACATCCTGAGACCGGCGGGAGCTCCGCGGTGAGGAGCTGCGGTTCCCCGCGGAGCTGCGGTTCCCGGTGCTCTCAGCCCTGCCGGCGGCCGGGCCGGTAACCGAGAGCCAGTGTTTCTTTGCCGTCCACCCGGCTATCGTGCCCGGCCGTGCAGCGAGAGCAGGGAGCGCCGCATGGCGGCGGGCGGGCGGCACAGCCGATGCTGCCACTACAGCCGGCACCAGCAGGCATGCGCGGCGACACGAGGAGGGCTGGGCCCGTCGCAGCGAGGGGTGCGCTGCTCGGCCTGGGGCTGAGCCCTCCTATCGGAGATGTGAATCAGGAATGTTATTTTGGTGGAATCTTAATTTGTGTGATAGAATCATAGAATGGTCTGGGTCGGAAGGGACCTTTGAGATCACGTAGTTCCAACCCCCTGCTATAGGCAGGGACACCTCCCTCTACACCAGGTTGCTCGCTGCTCCATCCAGCCGGGCCTTGAATGCTTCCAGGAAAGGGGCACATCCACAGCCTCACTGCACAACCTGTTCCAGTGTCTCACCACCCTCACAGTAAAGAATTTCTTCCTAACATGTAGCCTATATCTACTCTTTTCCAGTTTAAAGCCACTTCCCCTTGTCCTGGTGCTGCCTGCCCGTATAAAATATCCTCGAGCCTTTTGGCAGATCCCCTTCAGGTACTGGAAGGCTGCTATAAGGTCCCCCAGAGCCCCAGCTCTCTCAGCCTGTCCTCACAGGGGAGGTGCTTCAGTCCTCTGATCATCTTTGCGGCCCTAACCTCCATATATGATGACTTTAAGCATTCTTTGTCCTTAAATGTTCCCTTTTAATATTTTCTCTCCTGCATTTCCTCTGAAATAAATGACCCCAATTCCTTAATACTTTTTGGAACACGTTTTCTTCATTGCCCTTACTCATTTTTTCAATCCCTCATAATTTTTCAACTTCCATTTTGCGCTAGGGCAACCAAAAATCTATGGTGTATCATAGATGAGGCAATATTTCAGCTTTGTATAATGGTACTTCAATATTCTCTGTACAGTTCATTATCATTTTTCTGGCTTATTTATCCTTTTGGTTTGGCTTTTGTGATAACAATCTCATATGACAAATGATCATCATAAGAAACTGTATGAATCCTGTAAACCATATTATAATATTTGTACCCCCAATTTCCCTGCATTTATCCAATTTTATCTTCCGCTATCATTTTCCTACTGATTCCCATATACTTTCTAGACTTCTTGACTTTCTCACTGCTCTCCAATCCTGATTGATCAAAGGAATGCTTGTTCTTTAAATTTTTGGTTCTCCACATATTCCTTTATTTTCCTCAGGGTTCAAAACTTAATTTCCTCAGTGACGACCAGCACAGAAAGAGGCCTTTCAGATACCCATATAGGCAACCAGCTTAACTCAATATATTAATTTGTGAATTAGCACCAAAGTCCATCAAACCCAGTGAAACAGTATCTAAATAGAACTTTGAGGTGATCCACCATTCATCTTTTACCCTGAACAGAAACACAGACCTTCACCATCACCATGTCTTCACTGCACTTGCTTTCTCCTTGATACTCACACTCGGCTGGGGATTTTTTTTCTTAGTACCCTTTTGTGTCAACAGCTTCTTGGACTATTCTTTATCATGAGGGGTTGTTTCTTTCACTGGGGTACTTTGAACAGCAGAAACTATAGGAATCCAAGTTTACAACCACTGTCACACCTGGCCAGGACCTTGAAAACCTGAATCATTGCCAACACTTCCTGATTTTCTCATGGCATTTCTGCAACACATTATTGAGGCAATTATCCCTGCAGAAGACTAGTGCTGGTTAGATGCTTTCAGACAATGCTTTAACTGTTACTGCTTTTAATGACTTGTTTTTCATCTACAAATGTTACATTTACATTCTTACAATTGCTCAGGTTACCCCACAAAATTAAAAACAAAAAAATGGGTATTTTCTGCCCTGTAAACCTCCCAACTTGTTGTCAACCAGAGACTGGGTGCTTGAATGTAAGTATTAAATCCTTCCTATACTCCGAAGTAGCACTCAAACCGAAGATTATTCATAAAGCGTCAGTATCTTTCTAACAGCACGTATTTCGAGGTGACGGCAGAAGCCCAGGCCGGAGGGGCGCTGCAGACCCGGACTCGCCGCCCCGCCCGCTCCAGCTGCAGAGGCAGAAGCGCCCCTCCCGCGGCCGGGCAGGGCTGCGAGGAGCCGGGAGACGGCCACTCCGCACCGCCCCACCGCACACCCCCACCTCCGGAGCACAAGATGGCGGCGACAATGATCGGCCGGACCGCTCTCCGCGGCAATTACTCGATCAGCTTCTCCGGCACGAGACGGGTAAGGCGCCGCCCGCTCTCATAGAGCTGAGGGTGGGCCGAGACATTCTCAGGGCTGTGGTACCCCCATACCCTCTCAGCGCCCCGTGCTCCCTGGGACGCGCCTCCTGCCTGTTTCTCCCCGCTCCCCTTCGGGCACGCCGGTATGTGCTGCAGGAGCGCACCATGCCATCTGGGTGAAAGGTCGGAGCGCTGCCACCGCCGCTTCGTGGGGGCGTGCCTTCTTACGAAAGACTTCCTCCGGGGGAGCCTTTTGTGGTAACTTAGTGATTTACTTCCACCACCTGGGTACGGGGGAGTTTGTTTTTTCTCCTGTTCACGTTGCCTGGTTTCTTTATGCCTCTCTTTATGCCTGTAGTTTAATTTAGAATCTTGGCGTTAAGTGCTGGAATGATTACTTGGAACAAATCTTCTCAAGGAAGCCCTTTGTGCAAAGTAGTGACGAGTCCCCCAGCAGACTGCTTTAACACGTGGGCTCGATGCTTTCAGAGTCGTTTATTAACTTTGGTGCAATACCCCGTGCTCTCTGGCCTGCTTTCTATCTGCCTCCTTCAGCAGGAGCTGCTTGCGAAATCTCTGTGGTGGTGAGCAAAGGAGGGGGCTGTGTCCATCGCTACCAAACCCCTTTGGAGAGTTTATCCACTGACCTGATGGAAAGAGAGTCCCAGTGGCACCTCGACCCCAGCTAATAGACTATTCGGCTGTTGCTCAGAGCATCACCTGTTAATTTCAGTGTTGCAAAGGGGAATTGTACATGCTACAAGCTATTTATTGTTCTATTTGTACTGTTTTAAAGTAGCCTTTTCTCCTTCAACACATTTCCTGTTGGCATAACAATGTTATGTTTTTATGAGCAGTGACGTATAAAAGTAAACATGAAGTTTTCCTAAAATTATACTACAAGCTTGTGTAGTCAAAAGGACGCATTAAAGATTCAATTACAAATTAGTATTGGAAAAGATAAATATAGCTTAAGTTCTTCTAATTTTTCTCACTTAAACAAATAACCAAACTTTGTTGTATTTAGAAATGTTTTCAGTTCCAGATTGAGATAACTTTCATATTCCAAGTAATTTGTGAATTTCTTAACTGTTTACGTAATGCTGCTGTGCCAAGTCATGTCATTCAGTTTGAGGATGTACTCCAGTATTTGAGGATTACAGAAATGCCCTCTTGACTATTTTTCTTGGTGACACTACAGATTACTTACTGCTTACACTAGAGTTGTGTAACTTATTGCATATACTAGTATTGTGGGATTGTATTGCATACTGTTTTCTTAGAAAATGCATTGCTGAATGTAATAATGAATTTTCTTCTCTGGTGTTGTTTTTGTGGGTTTTTTTGTTGGATTTTTTTTGTTGTTGTTGCTTTTAGTAAGTACAAACCACACATTTGCTTGCAAAAAAATTAGCAAATCTAGGGCTAACTTGCTGTAAGTGGTATTCAGTACATGTATGAATGTGAATCTCAAATCCTACTGTAAATCTAGTAATTAGCCAGTAAGGTATTTCCACATACATGAACAAAACAGACAGCCATAAGGATAGCTAACATTTGAAATAACCAACACTGTGATTAAAATGTGTTCTTGGTATTTTTGTAGTTGGAATGGAATGCCTAAAAGTGGCCTAGTTACTTTACCAGTTTAGGATTTGTTTTATGCTATGGTGCGCTTTTAGTAACTTCAACATAAATGCAAGCTAATCGTTTTTGTATTCAGTTTGTGTAACAGGAAGATAGCTATAAAGTTGTTACTTTCACGAGCAAATCTAATCTTTATTAGTGGTCCTGTAAATGGAAATGGATTTTTTTTTCCTTCTTTTTTCTTTCTTTCAGTTCTTCAGCCATGGACCAAATGTGCTGCTGCAAGAGAGCAAAGCTCCGCAAGCTGCATTCTTTTCACCTCTTCAAAAAGTGATGTTGCCACCAAATTCCTTTGAAGGGAAGGTGGCATTTATAACTGGTGGAGGTACTGGGATTGGCAAAGGCATGACAACAGCTTTATCCAGTTTGGGTGCCACATGTGTCATAGCAAGCCGGTAAATATTAATGAACACATTTTTAGAGCTTTTAGTGTTGAGTGCTGAATGGATCTGGTTTCTTTTCTTCGCAAGCTGGATAAACTCTGTTAATTTATTTACTCTGGTTAATTTATTTACACTGTTCACTTTTAAATTAGAGTGTAGCATGGGAAATACTGAAGACCTGATGAGAAGACTTTGAAAAATCTTGTGTGTTGGGGCAGAAAAATAAACAAGCCAGAATATTAGACATAAATCTGAAGCATAAAAGAGAGCACAAAATTGAAATGGATGTTATTGATCACTTCTGTATTAATATGGGTGTTCGTAATACAGATGTTAATAGCAATAAAGAATTAAAATAATTCCTCTTAACAAAGATAATATTTATACAGTTCTGTTAGTGATATAATAAAAACAAAAAAAGCAGTTTCATTTTGGAAACAAAATTAGTGTTCTGACATTCTTCCAAGTAGCAATTTAGATACTTGAAACCTGGCCCTTGTAAAGTATTAACGGAGCAGTAGATAAAGCTGGGTTTATTATCATGATGTACTGAATAGGAAAGTACTTAAACTAATCAAATGTAGTAAGTTAGCTAAGATTGTTCTTCTTCCTTTGTCGTTTCTTAGTTACTTTTAAGTAGTAATGAACAGAAGGTACTTAGATTTTTGATTAACTTTCAGAAAATTAGTAACTAAATATTTTCATTTTGAAGCTGTTTTCATGAAAACTTTCACTATGCACAAACACGCATCA